CCCACAGGTGCCCAGCTTCCCTCCTGTGGGCCTGTGCCCTGGCTGTGCCCTCCTCCTGGTGCTCCCTTCCCTTGGTTCTTCCCCTGGGGCTGCTTTGCTTCCTTCAGGGCTCAGCTCCTCCTCTGGCTGCCTCACTGACAGCCACGCTCCACCTCAGCGCCTCAATCATGTCAACAGTAGCCCCCCTCAAATGATCTTCATTATTTATTCATTTCCTTAGCTATTATCTTTCTCCCTCTCTTGGGATATAAGCTCAGTGAGGATGGGGACAGTTTCCTTGTCCCATGGCACACTGCCCCACTGCCCCACCCACAGCCAGTGCTCAGGAAGTAAGCACTGGCCACTGCTAAAGGGGACATCACCCGACCATTTAACTTTTACTTGAAAATGCATCCAGTCATCCCAAAACCACCATCAACTCAGTTCCCCTTGTTAAATTTCATTTTAAAAACCAGCCACAGTGACTTGAGGACCTACATGTTGATAGCAGGGTGTGAGCTTTACAAAATAACCAGTGGTTAAGGTAAGCCAGGTTGGCACCAACAGTTTGCTACAGGTAGTTATAGAGTGAAGAAACTGAAAACCAAGTGTGTAAAATTTTTGGACACGAGTCATATTTGGTCTGGCATGTAATTCATACCACATGAACAAATTAGAGTCCCTGGGGGAAGGACTGGTACATGGAGAGGTCCTGGGTTGAGAGAGCTGCCTGCTTGTTCAAGGTGTAACCTGTCTGTGTGACAAGGGCCTGGATTAAGAGAGAGAAAGGGTAGTGGCCATGGGATCAGACAGAGGTGTGTGGGGTCTGCTAGGACTTGAGGAGGAGTTTGAGCTTTAATTGGAAATGGACAGGAAAACACTGGAAGACTTCAGCCAGGGACTGGAAAACTCTAACCAGAGGGCCAAATCTGGCCCCTGTCTGTTTTTGTAAATAAAGTTTTATTGGAACACAGACATGCCCATTTATTTTATGCTACGTGGCAGAGCTGAGCTAAGCTGGAACAGAGAATATGTGGTCCACAAAGCCAAAAATATTTGCTATCTGGCCCTTTATAGAAATGGTTTGCTGACTCCTGGCTTAAACAGTGGAAAAATATGATTTATATTTCAATGGTAGTATGAAAATTGAAAACAATGATATAAGCAGAGTATGTAAGTATTAAGGAAGTCATGGTTATAAAAATAATAGTTCACATTTTTGTGTACCTGGCATTGTTCTAAATGTTTTATATATATTCATTCTTTTAATCCTCATAAGAATCCTGTGATTATATGGTATAAAATATCCACTTTATAGGTAAGGAAACTGAGGCATGAGAGCAGTTTAAACACTTACCCAAGGTCACACAGGTAACTGAACAGAAAGGGATTTGAATTAGGTAGTCTGGCCTTGGAGCCCATTGGGCTATTCTGCTATATTATGCTGTAGGGGGAGGAGGCATTGCTTCTACCTGGATGCAGTGTTCAGAATAGAGGCAGTACTTATCTGGGCTTTGGAGGGTGTATAGGAGTTGGACAGCACAATTGCTCAAGGACCTCACTGGCTTCAGGGGTGGGGGACACTTGAGGCCCAGGGACTGAACAACTAGGAGATCCAGAGCCAATTTGACTTTGCTACCAAGGGCAAACCACAGGCTGAAATGGACTTGGAAAGGGTGTTCTACCCTGGGAACCAGGAGCAGCAACATGATCTGTAAAATTGTGCAAAATGAAAATGCAGATGCCCCCTTGCTAAAAAAATCAGTAAGAATTTTAAGATGGCAAGATCAGAGCATTAAATCAAGCACAGGGCCCTCTTTGGAGTGGTTCCTGTGTGGACTAAGTGGTTCCTAAGTGGGACTGTGCAGGTCACACACCATGAAGGCAGCCCTGCTGGGGGTTAAGCAGTCATGGGTGGCTCCTTCCAGCCACTGGGGCTGGACTTGGCAGTGGAGCAATTACAGAGGACAGGAAGCCTTATATGGTTATAGTCCAGGTCTTCCAGGAGGAGGGAACTGGGTACCATGTTCCCTAACAAACAGGACAGGGGTTTAGGGGGCTCAGATCAGGAAGACATCTTCATCCCCAGGGTTCAGGGGTCAGAAAAGCAAAGATATTAATGTTTCTGAAGCAGCTGTGAGTGCATCAATCTTCAGACACCCATGAGCCTGGAGCTTAGGGTGTTTTCTTTGGCAGAACATCCCAGGACAATGTTTTTTTACCAGAAAAACTTGGAAACTGTTGAGCCAAGCAGCCCACATAGGGAGAAGCAGATGCTATGTCCCAATTTCCCTCCCTTGAAAGGTGAAAGACCAAGGCCCCAGTCATGATCCAGACGATGTCTTTGTTGTAGAAGAGAGGCAGTGGGGAGAGGCTGAAGGCAAAGATAGAAAATGAGGAAATTGTGGTGGGAAAAGAACAGTGGGCAGTTAGTGATCTGGGGACACTGTGTACTGCTATTCTGAATCTTGTCTTAAATCTGAATGGGCTCAGCACCACCTACATAGGTGGCTTCCCACACTCAGATTTGCTCTCTTTCTTCTTGCTCTGGTCAGAACTGGCCCCTTCAGTTTGGGGTGATGTCTATCAAATATTCTGATATTAGGCTGATTGAAGAAATTCATACTAAAGTGTAAATGACCGAGTGGCTTGGTTTGTTGGTTCCTGGTTGCGTTTTCAAAGAGGCTATTCAGGCAAGTGAAGACTCCTAATATATGGAAGAATCCTTGGTGGAGTGGGCTTAGGGCTTCAGTCTGTCTTTCCCACAGGCCCTCTCCTTTTCTCATTTACCATAATAAGAAGTCAATGGGCAGATTATGATCCGGGTGACCGTGTTCAGATCTTGCTCCTCTGTTTCCCATCTGTGTGATAGCAGAAGTAGTTGTGACCTAAAACAATTTACTTCAACCTCTCTGAGCCTCAGTTTCCCCCAGGTGGGTGATGAGGATAATCAGAAACACTTTTATTGGTATGTTGGGAGGATTAAATGAAAAGATTTGTGAGCCGTTGCTTAGCATAGAGTAGGCCTTTGACAAATACTAATTCCATTCCCCCAGCCCTTCCTCTGACCTTAAAAAGCAAGTTCCTAGAGGGTTGGGCCTGTGTCATGGATCAACTTAGCAAAATATAGTAGAGTGAGTCCTGACAGCATTAGAATCAGAGACCTTTCCATTCTGACTGTGCTTTCACTTCACTGTGTGATGGAGGGCAAGTTGCTTGCCCTCTCTGGGCCAGAGTTCCTGTTCTGTAATAACACAGAAGTGATTCATCCTACCTGCAGGATTGGGGGAGTAAAGGTAAAGGTGATGATGCATGTAAAACAATTAGCACCGGGCCTTTACTCCCCCACCCCCAAAAAGCCCATTCTCTCCTTAAAATTAAAAAAAATATATTTTTTGTTTGGACTCAGTTTTCTATTTCAAGGAAATTTGAATCCTGCCTTTTTGGTTCCTAGTTCATAAAGTGACTCTGAGACCACATGAAATAATGTGGACACTGAGAATAAAGATCATTAAAAAGGGGGAGAGGACCATGCTAATGCTGGCATGAGACGTTTCCTCGTTTCTGGAGATCAGACACTTAATTTCTGGACAATGAGGCCCATGGGATTAGGTCCAGCAATTCAGGGCACATGTTTCTTTCTTTCTTTCTTTTATTACCCACCCCTTGGCAGAGCAAATTAGTTTCTTTATTTCCTAATTAGGAAAAAAAGCAGGGTCCACAGCCCTGGTGGCACCAGTTCAGCATGGAGAACCTTGAGCTGACCTCGGGGTGGACAAATTCTCCCCACGGCCCAAAAAAAAAAATCTCTTATGTTTCAGAATATTCAGTGAGCTCATAAAATGAGAGAGTTTAGACAAAAAAAAGGAAGAACAAAAAACCAACAAAGAAAATCAGAGGAGAGGACAGAAAGGGAGGAAAGGTTTGTTTGAAGCCCTATCCTTTCCTTTCACTAGGACTAGTGGGAGTTAGAGGCAGGGTCTGCAGCCCTTGGATAAAATAATCCCACCATTGTGATCTCTGGTGGCCAGGGAGAGGCATCTGGTTCAAGATGGCCATCTTGGTAAAAAAAAAAAAAATCTGCTCATTTTCTAAAAGTACTCTTTTGGTAAAACGAGCAATGCTCTGCTGATCTAAACCTGTATGTCATTTACACTTTAGCATGAATTACTTCAGCCAGGTTATCCTTTGATACTGGACTAAGATCATTAGCCACCTGACGATCAGAGTAGGGATTCTCCAGAGGATGAAGGGGTTTACATCTGCCTAATGGCTGGTGGGATAACTGGTTCTTTTTTTCTGGAAGGGGAGTTCTGAGACTTTTAACTTAGGTTCTGGTACTCCAAGAAGTACTTAATGCTTTCTCTGGAAGGCAGCTTTTTGCCTTATCCTTCTATCCCTAAGAAAGCTAATGATGTCTTAAAAGTAGATAACTTACAGTAAAACTATTCTGTATACTACTATAGTAGTAGATACATGTCATTATACATTTGTCAATACCCATAGAGGGTATAGCACCAACAGTCAGCCCTAATGTCAACTATGGACTTCGGGTGATAATGAGCTGTCATTGTAGGTTCATTGTAACAAGTGTACCCCTCTGGTGGGGCTGTTGTTGGGGGGAGTCTACACATGTCGAGGGGCAGGAGGATATAGGAACTCTGTACTTTCTGCTCAATTTTGCTATGAACCTAAAACTGCTCTAAAAAATCAAGTATTTTTATGAAAGTATCAGCTCCAAATAAACTTAAGTGTGAACCTGGGTGGGGAAATACAGGTTTTCTCTTTTGCTCTTTTCATGCGAATCCTTTCTTGCATCATCTTGAGAGGAGTAGATGGAGATGGCCCTGGGTCTGAAGCCTGGCCCAACTCTCTGCCATCTCTGTGACCTTAGGCCAGTCACTTCGTTGCTGGGTGCCTCAGTTTCCCCATCTGCCAAGCAGCCTGGGGCTGTGGGAAGGCAGCCCCAGGACACCTGCATGAGGTTATTTCCCTTGGGTCACTGCTCCCCTGTCTTTCAGAGGCGAGTCTGGAGCTGGGAAAACTGAAAACACCAAGAAAGTCATCCAGTACCTGGCTGTGGTGGCTACCTCGCACAAGGGCAAGAAGGACACGAGCATTACGGTGAGTGGCCAACCCTGTCCCATGGCCGGGCCTTCACAGACGGGCCTCCAGGCTCGTGGCCTGACCAAGGTGCAGACAAGTTCCATCAAGGAGGACAGGACGCAGCTCTGTAAGAGCTCAGGCCCGTGTTTAACTGCCCCTCCCCCAGTGACTCACCGGAGGGGCGTTTTCCACATAGGTGGGCGTGCGTGGGACTGGGCAACCCCTCACCGCTGCTCCATCATCATCCCAGCCCTCTCCCCATCCATGCAGTGAGAACCACTGTCATGCTGAACAGAAGTCTCTGGTATGAGGCCGTCCTGTGCACTGTAGGGCTTGTAGCAGCATCCCTGGCCTTTCCCCACTTGGTGCTGGTAGCTACCCCTCCCCCCAGTTATGACAACCAGAAATGTCTCCAGACATTGCCAGGTGCCATGGGGTAGGGGTCACCATCACCCCTGATTGAGAACCACTGCTGTAAATGCCCTAGGGTTGAGGCACACCTGTCACCTTCAGCTCCAGGGCATGGGAATACTGATGTTACTCAGCATATGGGCTCAGTGCCGTTGACTGAGCATCTGCTGTGTGCCAGGCATGGGATCCAGTGATGAGTCTGGGAGATGCTGTCATTCTATTCACTGAGCTTCCAGATATGTAGGAAAGAGAGAGAGTTGTTAAATAATCATACACATAAAGCCGTGATGACACAGTTTAAGGGCCTAGAAGGAAAAGAAAAGCAGGTTTCTAGAATCATCCCTTTTTGGGTCTATCCCTCTCTCCCTCCTCCTCTGTCTTAGTCCCATCTCATCTGTCCCAGGGGAGAGGACGAGAATGGGGGCTGCTTGAAGGCCTTGCCAGCACCTCTGACTGAAGGTTTGGGGTCAGGGAGATGGCTGAGTGGAGGCCTGAAGATGGCATGGGTGTTGCCATTCCTGCCTTTCCGGGTCTTGCTTTCAACCCTCATGGGACTCTGGAGCAATCACGGAGGCCAGCTTGTCCAGAGGCCCTCAGAGATCAGAGCTGGGCATCAGCTGTAGCCTGAGGAACCTTATTCCCTCAAACAGATGCCTGAAAAACCAAGGTCCAGCATTTCTGAGCTGTCTCTGGCATGGTGTGTAGGAACAAATAGCCCCAAAGTTTGCATGGCAGTGAAACACTGCTTCCTACTGCCTTCCTTTCCTTATAACAGTAGAAAGCAGAAATAATAATGCTTAAGAATAACGACAGAAAAAAAAAAATGACTAACGACGGATCTTTATCAAGTGCCTACTACATGCCAGATGCTGCTTTTATCTCCGCGTATGTACACGCGTCTCAGGCAGTGTCATCTGAGATGGCTTCAAAGAGCTCACCCTGTCCCAGCAATTACTAAAACCTTTGAAATGTCTGAGTCACTGAGAAACTTTAGAAAAGGGAGCAAGTGAAATGGAATCAAAGAAAAGTTGCTGCTCTCTTCCGTGCCTTGGGGAATCCAGGCTGTCTGTCTGGGGGGGAGTGATATCATATATTCTCCAGCCCCTGATGTCCATGTGATTTAAATGACACTGATGTTTGTTTTATACTGTATTGTTCAACTACAGCAAGGTCCATCTTTTACCTACGTGAGTAACTAAGAGTGTTTTCCTGGTGTGTACAGGCGGCACAGAGTGAATTTAGATCTGCATGTTTCCGTTGCACCCACGAGTTCCGTAGCCGATGGTAGAATGGGCTAGGCCCCCGAGTCCCACACCCCAGACCAACAAGTGCACCGAAGTACTGTCCTGCGGGTGTCTGATGCCAACGTGGGGTGTGTGTGTGGGGGGTCGTTTGCCTCCCACAGGACCCCCAGGGTTGGACTCAGCCTGGAATGGGTGTCCCCAGCTCAGAGTGAACCTCCTCACTCCTCCTACCAATGGGTCTACCAGTGCGTCCACCACTGGTACTCCTGACTGGAATGCCCTTGAGATGTCTGTCCCATCGGGTTGAGTGTTTTAGGACTCTCCAGCCCTAAAGCTTCCTTGGCTTGATTGACAGTCAATTAATGGCACTGCTGTGACCTGCCTCCCTCCCTCCCACCTGCCATCACCCCTGAACTTCTCCCCGAGCCCTGTCCCCCATGCACAGGTGTGTCCTCATGCATGCTGTGTGCAGTGCCTGTCTGTCTTTGCATGTGTTTGCTTGACCCAAGGCTATAGAAACAGGAGCCTTGGAGTTCCCGATGCACTAGCCTGGGTGGCATGGTAAGGCCCCAGCTATGCAACACACAGAGGGTCCTGCTCTGACCTCCGCATATATAAACTCATCTCTAACAGAGCTTGGGGGGCTGCCATATGGGTTGCTGGAAGAAAGCCTGAAAGAAACCTACAGAGTCCTAGTGTGTGCTAGGATCACACTCGGTCCACCTTAGTTAGACTCTGGGCTGCAGTGTCATGAATGGGTCAGGAGGAGAATCAGGATTCTTGTTTGGGATCTGCTCCTGTGGGACCTTGGCCAAGTCACTTAACTTCTCTGGGCCACAGTCTCATCATCAAAATGAGCAGTTTGGACCAGATCCCCATGTTTAAAGCTCCCCTGAGAAAGACCTTTTGGCCCACCAACTGGAATTCCCCTTCTAGAAAGGAAACTTTTTTGGGGGGATATTGGGACCCCATTTGTGTTGGCAGAAATGATCCCCTTAGTTTTCTTCCCACCAGCCAAGGAAAGCCCACTGCGCTCATTGTAAATTTCCACAAATCCCAATTACAAGGGATTCCACTTGTGGCTGAGATTTTCAGAGATGATACTTTCATTTCATCTCCTTTGGGAGCTGTGAAAGAGAAGGGTATGCGAATAAATGAACACACAAACAGTAGCTTCCTATTTTTTCTCTTTGGGACCTACCACGATGCCCTCCTAGTGTACAGGAACAGGGAGCCAGCTGTGCACTCCCTCTTCCCCTCTAGAACCTCCCCAGCTTCTTTTTAGCCCTGTCCTGATGCCCTGAAAAAAAAAAAAAAGAGGGAAATCAGCAGAGAACAAGGAGAAAACCTCAGAGCCCAGCATGTCCCAGGGGAGGCCTGGAGGAATAGCTTGGACAGGGAGGCCTCTGGGCCAGTCTGCAGCCACCATGTTTGGGGCTAAGCAAAGAGCAACTCATAGCTTTCCCAGCATGACTCCCCTCGTCGGCCCTTTCCTGCCACTATTAATCACATGACCACGTTTGTGCACAGGAGCCCCCTCAGAGGGGCCAGTGGGCTATGTACAGTCTCGGCTGCATTTAACCTGATGAATGGAGCTCAGGTAACCTGCTTTGAAGCTTTGTTCTGCAGTTGGTTAAAAGTATTCCTGGTGGGTTCTGTGTATCCCTTACTTGTCTTCAGAAAACACTAGTCCCAAGAAAGGAAAAATTACAACTTAAAAAAAAAATCACGCTGAAACCATCAGGAGGATTGTAGTGGTTTAGCTTGAAGAAGACTGCTTGTTAAACTTGAACAGCAGGACCGCCACAGATAGCAGGGCAGGTTGTGTGCTGCATAACTCCATGGCGTGCCATTCGCTATGATGTATATAATGCCTCCGATGATGTGCAGTGCAGTGGTTCTGAGTGAAAAGGCATTGCATAGATGACCAAGCCCTGATCTTGGCAAAAGTGGCCTTCCTGGAGCAGATGTCCTAGCAATCAGATAGCTTGACTAGTTGCTTCTCTTCTGAAATCCGTGAGTAAATCTGGACATTAGCATTGGGGTCTCAAAGAGGTGGGAAATAGGATGGGAGAGAACATGTGGGTTAAGGGCAGAGTGGGAAAATATCCACGTAGGGCAGAACTGTGGTGCCTGGATCCCTTTCTCCAATAACTAGATGTGAATCCATTTTAGGGTGAGCTGGAAAAGCAGCTTCTACAAGCAAACCCGATTCTGGAGGCTTTTGGTAATGCCAAAACAGTCAAGAATGACAACTCCTCACGCTTCGTAAGTAGCACAGGTTCCACGGTGTTCTCTCCTGCCTGAAAATGTAGAGTATGTGTGTGCAGGGGGAGCTGGTGATAGACGGGGTAGAGGTATGCAGCGCAACATCATTTTGCTCTCTCTTCAGTCCTGTCCTGATGTTACAACCCTGCAAAATGATGACATAGCCCACTGACCCTCATTCATTCACTGTTCAGTCAACAGATACTCACTGAGCATTAATTATATACCAGGCATCCTGTTAGGCATTTGGCATTCATTCAATAAATATTTACCCAGCACTTAGTAGGTGCTGGACACTTAATCCAGTTCTCATTTATTTGTTCAGCAAAACATGAATTGAGTAGACATGCTCATCCTTCAGCAATTATTTATTCAGCCCCTGCAGTGTACAGTTGTCCTTGTAGGCATTTTTACATGCACCATTCTCTTTTGGTTTTCCATTTGCTCAGTTAGTTTTTATTAAGGACCTGCCGTATACCTGTGCTCCCTGACGTCCTCCTCCCCACTTGCCTGCAGCATGGGGGTGAGGGGGCTGAGGCTGGGAAACCCACCGTGAGCTGTGTTTTCCTGTTGGCAGGGCAAATTCATCCGCATCAACTTCGATGTCACTGGTTACATCGTGGGAGCCAACATTGAGACGTGTATCCTTTGCTGAGCCTGGGCCACGTGGGACTTTCCATTTCCTGCAACCGACATATGCTCAGAGCATGAGGGGGACCCAAGAAGGGTACCAGAGCTGCCCGTATGCCCCAGGCTCTTGGGTTCCTTCCAGAACAAATCTTCCTGGGGGTTGTTTCCCCTTAACAATGGGCATTGTAGTGTGGTGGTCACACAAATGTGAACCCTGAGTTTGAACTCCAAACAGCCTGTGTTTGATTCTGGATTGACCCTAGCTGAGTGACTTTGGGCCAGTTACTTAACCTCTCTGTGCCCAGTGAAATGGGAATGATAATAGTACCTGTCTTGCAGAGGCGTTGTGAGAATAAAGCGAATTAATTCCCAAAAAGCTCTTAGGGACATAGTAAGGGCTGGCTGAGTTTTGGCTATTGTGATGTCCACCTCATCCTTATCAAGGCATGGTCAGGGCCAAACAGGGCCCCTTGTCCTCCTTAGGGAACTGGTCTGTGACCCTCTCCAGCTCACAGATAGGAAGTGTGGGGAGACAGAACTTTCCCAGGGGGGCAGCCCTGCTACAAAGGACACATAGAGCATCTCTTTTGAGAATCTGGGTGGCAAAGTGGAGCCACGTTAGACATTTCTGGACTCCGGGACTGAATCTTGGCTTCATTGATTTATCAACTTAGAAGAATTGTGGGCTAGTGCTGGCAGCCAGCTCTGGGCAGCCCAGCCCCTTGGCTGGGGTGCTTTCGGCCACCACAGACACTTGGCTTAGCCACTTCCTCACTGTGTGCTCTTGAGAAATGACTTCCTGCTTTGAGCCTCTGTTTCCCTATATGGAAAATGCAAATAGTATTCACCCTCACTTGCTTGGAGGCTTACATGAGATAATGCATGTCAGACACTTAGCAGAGGGATCACCAAATCATAGAGGGCGGGGTTATTTTTACTCTGTGATGTCTGAAGGCGGCTTATTCTGCAGGAGGGTGGTGATGGTTGTCAGGGAAGCATTACCGTGCCCCGACCGTAAGTCTCTCATCCTAGGGTCTTTTGACTCCATCTTGTTATGCTTTTCCTTTTCCCTCCGTCTCCCTCACTTCTTCCTGGGCCTGGAGCTGGCCAACAGCCCCTACTGGCCCCACCTGGACCCATGAGCCAGACCAGATGGTTAAGAAGTCGTGTGTCAGGCATGGTTGACTTGAGCCTGCCTCAGCTCTGAGGCTCTTCAGGACTGTCTGGAGATTTCCCCTCCAGCAGCTGCTGTGACGGGGACTGGGGAGCAAGGCTGCATTCCCACAAGGGGAACATCTGTGGTATCCCCAGAATTCTTAACTCCTCCAAACCAGACCTGCTAGAAAAGTCGCGGGCTATTCGCCAAGCCAGAGACGAGAGGACATTCCACATCTTTTACTATCTGATTGCTGGAGCCAAGGAGAAGATGAGAAGTAAGTGACGGCAAGGGTGAGTAATGGGGGCTTCCAGCCTTCCCTGCCACCACGGTGCAGGGTCAGTTGGCCGGCTGTCAAAACAGTCTGAGGCCCTGCCAGGGAAAGAACTGTATCCTTGGCTGGCAGACACATGACTCCACTTCTCCTTTCAGTGAGTGACTGTAGCTTCCGTTCAGTCATTCTCATTGACTGAGCACCTAATAGGCGGCATGGTAGACACTGAGCCCAATTAGGACTTAGTTACTTAATTAACCAATCAAGTCCACCTAGACTGGAAGACATCAAGTCTGACTAGACACCATCTGTGCCTTCAGGAAGGGAGAAAGACGATTGTTGTGTCTGCCAGTTTACAAAATTCTCAAGTACATAAGATGTGGTTTTATAAGGAATTTGGAGGGAAAGTGGAATGAAGCACTTTTCATTACACATGTTTTAAAAGCAACTTTGAAGCGGCGTTTGTAGGGTAGGGGTCAACAAACTTTCAGTAAAGGACTAGAGAGGAAATCCTTTAGGCTTTTTGTAGGTCACATGCTTTCACCCTCTCAGCTCTGCCTTGCTGCACAAAAGTAGCCACAGGCAATACAAAAACCAATGGGCCTGACTGTAGTACAGTAAAACCTTACCAAAATACGCAGTGTGCTGGAGTTTGCTCACTTCTGTTGTAAGGGAAAAATATTTTTTATTGAGGTATAATTGACATATATAACATTATACTAATTCTAGGTGTACCACATGATGATTCAATATCTCTATATATTGCAAAATGATCATCACAGTAAGTCTAGTTAACATCCGTCACCAGTCGGAAAGAAGTTTGCTCATGTCAATACGATATACTATATACCAGATTCCAGTAGGAAATTATACATTCTGGACAAAGCACAATCTGCTAACTTTTAAAAGTACATACAAATCATAACGCTAAAAAAAAAAAAAAAAAAGGAAGATACCAGTGAAAACAGATCCACTGTATGGCCTACATTCTAGTAAGAAGTTTAAAACTTTGCGAAAACAACATACCCTTTGCTTCCCATTAGTTTTGTGGCCCTGGGTTAGTTACTTTGCTTCAGAAAATTACCAAAAGTATGTGTGGGCTCGAGCCTCTGCTGTGAGGAGGTGTATTGTAATTTTCCACTACTAGGGGGAGGCATCATTCATTTAACCTCCTAGATGATTGGTGCTCTGGAGTACGTGTTACAAGGTGGAGTAACTGTGAATAAAAGGTAGGATACTGAATGGATGTTACACACCAGCAAATGGCCCATTAGCAGCTACAGTGCAGAACACTGTGGGGTGGCCCAGAGAGAAATGTTTACATGCCTCCTCTTCAAGCACCAAAACCCACAGTTTGGTTGTTCAGCAACGTGGGTTGCAATTTTGTGCTCTGCCTCTAGTCTACCAGAACTTGGGCAAAGATAAGGCTAACAATTAAAATCCCTAGGGGCCATTTGTATTCTGGATGCTAGATCTAGGAAGAAGTTAGGCTTTTAAAGAGAATTGACTATGTAAAAATTTATCTGTAGTCTGGATCATGAAATCTTGGCAAAGACCCAAATCCTTGTGACTTTAATCAGGCATTTCAGTTAATCCAAAGGCTTGAGTTAATTGGTGTTTTGGGTCAATTTAACCCCAACTGCCTTCCAAGTGACTTGACCCATAAAAGACCCTGGCTTAAAAAGAAAAGTGTCTCGCTGATGTCCCTCTAAAAGTATAGTCAAGTCCAACTAATTAAAGATTGACCTGGAAGAGGGCACTTGACATATTAGAGTTGCCATAAAAGCACCTAAGATAAGAAAAGGAGAGGCAATTATAAATTTGGGGGGAAAAGGGGTGGGATGAGGCTGCTGAATGTATTGTTACATTCCTACTGTTGAATAAAGGAATGTAATTATAGAAGATACCTTTGCAGAGAACACTATTTAATAGATGCAATCATGTAAACAAGGAATTGGAAATGTTTTTGCTAAAGCCCTGGATAGTGTGTATTTCAGGCTATGGGGACCATATGGTTTCTGTTGCAGCTACTCAGCTCTGCCTGCCATTGTAGCAAGAAAGCAGCCATAGAAACTAGACAAGGTAACAGGAGTGGCTGTGTTCTGCTAAAACTTTATTTATGGAAACAACTAGCAGACTAGATTTGCCAATATATGATATCAACTTTATTGATTTGACTAGAAATAGTTGGAAGAGAGGGAGGGTAACTTAAGAGAGCTAAATATTTATCTACCGTTGCAGGAATTCGATAGATACCTAATTTTGACATATCCATAAATAGCCTATTATATATGCTATATTAACAATAATATATATAGTAAGCCTATTATATATGTTTTGTTCCTAAAGGCACAGTGCTTTTGGGCAGTAGAGATAAAGGATATCTGTCCTGTGAATAGATGCAACCCCATCTTAAGGGTCATGGCTTAGCAAGTGGAACCAAGGCTGGATTTCAGCTGCCAGGCACCGTGGGGTACAACCTGTACCACTGTATGAGGCCAGTGATGGCTGGTGATGGCTTCTCCGCAATGAAGCAGAATGAGTTTTAAACCATCCAAGTCTTGGGAAAGAGAAAGAAATTGTGGTGGCCCAACCCTTCACCAGGTCCCTGTCTCATGTTCACAGTAGAAATGTGTCCTCCTGACTACCAACTTTTCTACTCCTTCTAGGTGACTTGCTTCTGGAGGGATTCAACAACTACACATTCCTGTCCAATGGCTTTGTGCCCATCCCAGCTGCTCAGGATGATGAGATGTTCCAGGAAACCTTGGAGGCTATGTCGATCATGGGCTTCAGTGAAGAGGAGCAGCTGTGTAAGTCTTCACACCTTGAGTCTGGGTCCTGGCGGGGAGAGAGAGATTCAGTATTCTATGTGCCACTGGCATCAGGGACTTCTCTCTGGTCAGGATAGTTTCTACTCTCTGAATTCCCCACTCCCTCAAAAAATAGAAATAAGAAGAGAAAAGAAGAAAAATAAATATTACTTTAGGAAGTTTATTGGTGTGTAAGAAAATTGGCTGCATACGTTAGGGCTCTTACAGTTATAAGTGACCCAAATTGGCTTAAGCAAAAAGGAAAATGATTCATTCACAGAGCTGAAAAGTTTAAGGATACTTGTCTCAGGTACAGTGAGTTCTAAGGGCTTAAAGGATATCCATTGAACCTGGCCTCTCAACAACATTGTCTTTAGGTAGGCTGCAGTTTCTTGGCAGCAGAATGGCTGCTGTGGCTTTAGCCCTTGCATCTTTCAGGTTTATATTCAGCAGAAAAGAACAGAGCAGAGTCACTGCTTGAGTCCCTGAATGGAGTCTCACTGACTCTTATTGGTTGGCCTAGGTTTATGTGCATAGTCCCTAGCTACTCACAAGGAGCCAGGGTTGTGGAAAGCTCTGGATGGCTTACGTTATATTCTTTGTTCCATTCTTGGGGCTGGAGGTTGTTGACCTCATCAAGAACATGAGGGCAGAGGATAGGGGAAGGGGAGTGACTGAGGCAGTGGGTTGGCCTGGACTCTTCCTAGCAAGGCAGCTCCCTTGATAGACCAATATTGATCAGTATCATTCACCGATGACCAAGGACACATTTGGTCATAAAAACAGAAAAGCTCCAAGAGATAGTCTTGGTTTCTGCACTGTGCTTTAAAAAAAGCTTTTCCTCCTAGTTAGACGTGCCCCAGTGTTCAAGGCTAATCTCTTTTGGGAACACCATGACAAGACGGTGGAAAATTTCCCTCCCTTCCCACGCTCATGCCCCTTTGGAGCCCCAGAATAGCACCAAGGTTGCCTGAATGCAGTGTGTGTTGCGGGGGCAGCTCCTCCCGAGATAACTCGGGACCCAGAAAAAGAAGGCTCCACAGGCCAGTTGCAAATGGGTGGTGTTTGTGGATTTTGGCCAGGGCCCCACATCAGAATCCAGTGCTAACAGCATCCCTTCCTGAACGATGTGGGCGCTCCCAGAATGATTCATTTTATCGGAGACCCCAGTCAGTGTTACTTCTAATCTTTGCTTTAAACAAACAAACGAAGAGTAATGGTTAAGTACTTGTTATATGCCAGGCATTCACTAAATTCCCCTTTTAAAAAAATGTAGCAAGATATCTAGTTTTATATGTCATAATAAACCAGAACAAACTAAAATTTATACAAGTACTGTTTGACCTTTTGAAAGAAAATAGCAGGGCCCTTTAAATTGTTTTAGAAAAACATTGGCTTGTGTGGAAATGCTTCTAATATAGGTAAAGTGAAGAGATGAGGTGACAAAGCTAAGTGCTTTATGTGCCTTATTTAATATCACAACAACCCTAGCCCCAACTTGCCAGTGAGGAACTGAAGCACAGAGAAGTGAAGGGACTTGCCCAGGGACACACAGCACATTGCTGGTGGAGCTGGGACTCACTCCTGGGTCTCCAGGACCCCCAAGCCACATTTTGTGATTCACTGTGCTCTGTTTTTTTGTGTGTTTGTGTGTGGAAAGGTGACTTTTGTCTTCTAAACTGCTTTTAAAATCATTAACATCTGCAAAGATCTTTTGTTCCACATAAAGTCATGTTCATTGGTTATAGATGGACATATATTTGGGGGGCCACCATCCAACTCACTATTCAAGACCAATCGGGCCAGGCTTCCTGTGTCATGTCTCCTGACATCAACTTCAAGAAGCAGTTCCCACCTCCATTTTGCAGATAGGGAAAAAGACTCAGCAAGGTGGTGCTGGGGTTTTCTAACCCCAGAAGGCATGCCTGCACCCCCTGCCCCAGGTGTCAGCCCTCACCTCCCTTGCTATTTGTGTGGCTCCTTCCTTCTGCTCTCTTGCTGTCCCCCTGTCCTCTTGTTGGCTAATCTCTTGTGGCCTGGGAGCGGTGGCCATTCCCCTTTCATTTCTGTGATCACACTGCCTATGCCAGAAAGTACAAGCTGGTGCACCTGAGCCTGCAGGGCAGCTTGGCCTCCACAGCCTCTACCACTGTTTTAAATCGGTTCCCAACATTTAAACATGAGTAGCTGCCACGTAAAAACCTGGGTGTCCAACGTCTTTGCAAAAAGTAGAGGTTCTGGCAGCACTGTCTTGCTGCCCCCATGGCCGTGATCGGAGTAGCTGCTGTCCGCACAGTCGCGGTGAATCTGCTGTGCTCATTGAGGCGATTCGGCCGGCGATGCCTGGAGGCGGGGTTTTAACTCAGGAGGGGGAGCACTGCTGACATCTAGTGGTCAGACCAGGGCTGGGGCTAAATGTCCTGCAGTGGCGCCCAAGGCCCCAAGCCAACACTGATCTGATCCCAAATGTCCGTAGAGCCAAGGCTGAGAAATCCTGAGTCAGACTGCTTCCCTACGCCCCGCAGGCATTTCGGCAACCCCTTGTTTAGACTTGGAATTTAAAAGCCACGAGTATCATACCTGACAGTTTCCAAAGCCACTTGCACACGTGGCACTGTTCCAGTACCACTGCCTTAGCAGTGTCTTGTCAACAGAAGCTTTGTTCATTTAGGGGGAAGGGTTTCAGCGATGGTAAGCAGAAGCGGGTGGATTGGTGGTTGGCAACTGGACTTTTCTCCTGCTGAGCTGGACGAGGGTCCCTGAGTGTGAGGACTGCTGTTGTGAAGGATTATCACCCCTGGTTTGGCCTGAGGAACCAGAGAAGGCTGAGATCTCTAGCATCTGTTCCTTGAACACAGTGATTTCGTCTAGGAAGCCAGAACCCTGGGGAATTTGCACCTGAGTTAAGCTAAAGCTAGGCATTTGCATTAATCCATCATCCTTCCTTTTTTCCATCCTTCCATCCATCCATCCTCTGTCATCCACCCATTCATCCTCCATCCTCCATCATCATTCACCTATCCATCATCCATCATCCATCCATCCACCCACCCATCCATCCATCAGCCATCAGCCATCCACCCATCTATCCATCCTCTATCATCCAACCATCCATTCATCCATCCTCCATCCTTCATCAATCTTTCCTCCCTCCCTGTGTGTGTCTGGCTTTGGGAATACAAAGTAGGCTTTGGGAATACAAAGATGATAGGACAGTTCCCTATTCTCTGATGACTTATGGTCTTGTGGGGATTTCAGACATATAGAAGCCATTGGAACAGTGGCAAGGGCTGAGTATGGAGTTAGAGGGTCCCAAGCTTCTGGGAACACAGTGTTTGGTCTGGAAAGACCAGGATAACAAGTGGGAAAAAATGTCCACCTTTTTCAATTTACTCATCTCACACACTATGCAAGATGTCCACTATTTCATCTTTCATCTCACACACTCAGCCAGAGTTATTAAGAAACACCAAGTTTTGTTTTATTTTTTTAAAGTCATCTTTTATTAACATATAATTTACATTTAGGAAATTGTATCATAAGTGTACTACAGTTCAATGAATTGTTATGTACTGATCATACCTGTGCAACTAGCCCCCATTTTAACTAAGAGAACACCAGCAGCCCCCTGAAGCTAACTCACGTCCCTCTAGCAGTTTCCCCCAAATCAAGAATAACCATTATCCTGCTTTCTAACAGCACAGTTCTGTCTATTCTTGAACTTTCTATAAGTGGACTTACACAAATATGTTATATGTTCTTGTTTGCATTTGGCATCTTTTGGTCAGCATTTGTGTTTGTGAGCTACAACAGTTTTGTCATTTGTAGCTGTAAGTCATTCATTCTCCTTGCCCTGTAGCAGGGGCTGACAAACATTTTCTGTAAAGGGCCAGCTAGTAAATATTTTAGCCTTCGTGAGCCACATAATCTCTGTTGCAGCTGTTCAGCTCTGCCATTGTAGCATCAAATGCTTTATGATAATACGTAAATGGCCACATATAGCTGTGTTCCAATAAAACTTTATTTACCATAGCAGGCAGTGGGACAGATTTGGTCCATGGGCTGTGGTTTACCAACCCCTGCTGTGTAGTACTCCATGGTAGCACAGGGCTTTTAGCAACCATCTGAACATACTCTGCCTCCCTCTCCCAGCCTGGTTTTCTTCCCTGTTAGCAGGGGGTTAGGGTAGTTTACCTTTAATCTAGGAAAACTAAGAAAAGTTTTAGGGGAGATGGAGGCTGGCTCTGGGTCCCATCGACTCTGACTCCAAACCTCCGGTGCACCATGGTTTTGAAGTCTGTGTCTTACTTGTTTTTCTCTCCTCGCCCCAGCCATGCTGAAGGTGGTGTCATCTGTCCTGCAGCTTGGAAATATCGTCTTCAAGAAGGAAAGGAACACAGACCAGGCGTCCATGCCAGATAACACAGGTGCTCGCTGGCAGGCGGGACAGCAGGAGGGCCCTGTTGCGTGAGAGTGTCTGGGACATTAACGAGAGCTAAATGAAGTTATGTCCATCGACATCTCTCTTCTGTCAAGCTCTTCACTGCTGAAGAACCGACACTGAGAGATTCTTGAATCAGAATGTGGAGGAAAAACACTTAAGAGTTTTACATCACATCAGACAGGATCCTTAGGGAGCATGAATTCTAAACACCCCCACCCTTCACACACACACACACACACACACACACACACACACACACTCATTTTTTTTGTTAAATATGTTTGAATACATACAATGTGCCAGGCACTGGGATACAGCAAGAAACAAGATAGAAACAGCCCCATGTCTTAGGGTACCTACAGTCTTGCTGGGGAGACAGACCTCAAGTTTCTTTGCAGATAGAGTTGCCAGATAGAATATAAAATGTCCAGTTAAACTTGAATTTCATATAAACAATAAACACTTTTGATGGTAAGAATATCCTATGCAGTATTTGGGACATAATTATACTAACAACTTAGTGTTCGTTACCTGCAATTTAAGTTTAACTGGGCATCTGTATCTTTTTCTAAATCTGGCAGCCTGACCCGCAATACGCTGTGTTTTGTGTTGTGGAAAGATTGCCTGGCTACTGCCATTCTTGCTGCTGGCCGAGCCAAACTCACGTTCTCAGCTTGTCCACCTGTTACATCAACACCTCTGCCCAGGCTTTGTGATGTGCTGATTTTATGAGCTCCCTAGAGCTGACCCTCTGCATCAGATCCATCCACTGTTTCTCATGTGTTACACCCTCTGGCATGTTAAAGGAATCCCCACTCCAAGAACAGATCTTTAGGGAAATAGAAACCCCAAAAAGCACCCTTGGAAAGAGATGGGGAAAGAATCCCAAAACCACACTGTTTGTTGTCCACCTTGCTGGTGCACATCACCATGGAACACTTGTCGTCACACGAAGGGAGCCTCCAGACATTGCCTCGTGTCCCATGGGGGCCAGCTGAGAAGCACTGGTGGGGAAAGAGAAACAGGTCATTCCTTTAACTGCTGTTTGGTATTCTGTCCAATGAAAATACCATGATATATTTGCTTCCATATTAATGGATATTTAAGTTGTTTCCAGTTGTTTCCCACCACAAACAATGGTGCAACACCCACCTCGGTATAGTGGAGCAAGTGTGTATTGAACAGTTAACTGTGTTGGGTGTTTTACACCCCTTCCCTCACATGATCCTGTCGGCAGCCTCCCGAGGCACCCAGTAGCTGGCCCTTTTTACAGGCTGAGAAAACCAGGGCTCTGGGAAGTTACATAGCGTTTCCAAAGTCACGTGGCTCGGAAGTAGGAAGGAGGCAAGGACTTGAACCCAGAACTGTCAGACCCTAAAGCCCCTCTGGGGGCATACCTCCACCCCACCCCTGCCATTGCCTCTTAGCAAAACGCTGGGGGTGAGGTCACGAAGGGCAGCAGTTTTTAGGATGCTTTCATGCTGTGTTCACTGCCATCATCTCCATCTCCAAGAAAAGCTGGTGTGTACACTCATCACAGATACCCCACGTGATGTGCCTTCCTTTCCAAGCCTTCTTTTCGGTGATGTACTTAATATGCCTCTTTCCTCCATCCAGCTGCTCAGAAAGTTTGCCACCTCATGGGGATTAATGTGACAGATTTCACCAGATCCATCCTGACCCCACGTATCAAAGTCGGGCGGGACGTGGTACAGAAAGCTCAGACGAAAGAACAGGTGACGATGAGCCCACCATTTGTCCCCGCAGACTCCCCACCCCTCTCTGCTATCCCTTCCCCACCATTTCCCAACCCTTCCCCTCCACTCTCCACCCCTCTTCACCCCTCCCATACCCCTCCACCCATCTGTCTGTCCATCCATCATCCATCCATCTTTTTATCCCTTGTCCATCCAATACTAGAATATTCCAAGTCCCATGTTAGGTTTGGAGGCTACAATACTGAACAAGAACAGCAGAGTCCCTCCCTCAGGACCTCACCTTGATCCCTTAGTTGAAGGTACAAGGTCTGACATGAGAGGTTCATCTTTGGAAATGACCGTGTACTCTTCCTGGAGGCAGGGCTGACCACTTCCAAATGGTCCCTGGGATGGAACAGGCTCTCCTCTGTTCCAGGACCCTCGCTGGGATCTGTTTAATTATCCACACAGTCATTTCTTAGGTCTGACCCTGACTCTGACTCTGTCCCTTACTGTTGCTTTACTACTGGCTAAAGAGATGGAGTAATTTCCGTTTGTTTGCTTGTTTGCTTTTGAAGGACTGATTGCGGGTAGGGGGAGAATGAAGGTCTAGGCCCCCAGCCGGGCTCCTGCAAGGAGGCAGCCCACGGAGAATGACTGTGTCCCCTTGCTCCCCCTGCAGGCAGACTTTGCCATTGAGGCTCTGGCCAAAGCCACTTACGAGCGTCTTTTCCGCTGGATACTCAGCCGTGTGAACAAGGCCCTGGACAAGACCCACCGGCAAGGGGCCTCATTCCTGGGGATCCTGGACATTGCTGGATTTGAGATCTTTGAGGTACATCTTGGGAGGATCAGCACAGCCACTGTCTGGGCTCTCTGTGAGGAAGCTTTGTGGATGGGCAGCCAGTGCCAGGAGGCCTCACCTGTGCCCTGGTGGAGAGACCCCTCCCTACAGACAGCCACAGTTGGATTCTTGGCTCTAGTTAAGAAAGAATTTGAGAACAAGCCAGACAGGTGCAGGCAAGCAGCAGTTTATTTAAGTGGAAGGACACACTCAAGAAGGGAGTGCAGGCACACTCGAGAGATGAGTAGCCCTGGGATGTCTCTTCTTGAATCCTTACAAAAGGTTGAGCTCACTGTGGGGCAGAGGTTCAATGGACTGCTCATCAGGGTAGGTGGTGTTTTCTCAGAATGGGAGGGGCTTTGGGAAAAGGGGCTCTATCCTCTTTTTGTCCTGGTCTGGTTGGCCTCAAAACTGTCCTGCACCAAGGGGTGTGGTTTTTTTTAGCATGTTAACGAGTGTATAATGAACTTCGGGCAAGTGTAGGTCATTTTTGCTCCCCCTCTAGAATCTAGCTGGTTTGTTGCGCTTAAGCTGTTTGCCAGCTGGCCCCACGAACTGGCCTCAAGCTTTTCTTGATTTGCTCAGGGTCTGTCTCTCTTCCTAAACTATACCGTCTATGTCATCTTCCCCTTGGAGAAATCACTGTTTTGGAGAGAGGCAGGCAGATGGCTACTACAGAGTGGGAAGCTGTCTAGTTAAGGTTTGATCCTTGAGGGAATAGGGAGGGAATGTACTGGTTTATGCAACTGGGAAGGCCAGAGGTACAGCTGGATCCAAGAGGCAGCCCCTGATCCCTCCATCTCTCCTCTATCTACTGGCTTCCACACTGGCTCCATCCTCAAACTTATCTTCTCCCCTCATGGTGGCAAGATGGACGCCACAGCTCTAAATACCTGCAACCCTGGAAGTTCCAACCACTTCCAACTGTTTCCAGTAGTTCCAACCAAACTCTCGGAATTGAGTCTCGTTGACTTTTACTCACCAGGGTTGGGCCACACGATCACCTTAGAGCCAAGCACAGTTTTCAGGGTTTGTCATACTTTGTGTAGTGTAAACATGGCTACTGGAGCCATGGGTTGGAGGGAAGTTCTCAGTGAAAAGGAAGGCCTTGAGATGGACAGATGTCCCAAAACATACCTGCCGTAGAATCACTCCCTCTCTGAGCACAACTGTAACATGGGGGTGGTGAAATACCTACATGGTTATTCCATCCATAAATCGTTGTGCAGAGGAAGGAGATCGAAGTGTCCTTAAAACCACGTGTGGGGGCCATGTGACGGGAGAATAGCCAGCCCCCGTGACAGCCTTTGTGGGGGACTAAGACACTGACATGGTGAAGGAGGTTACCGTGGAAAGGCTGTCAGCCACAGAGGCTGTGTGAGGGCAGAGCCCCCCTGGCACATGGTGTCCTCTGAGCAAGATGCTCACTGGGGGCCCCCTGGTGTTCCGTGCTCAGGTGAATTCGTTCGAGCAGCTGTGCATCAATTACACCAACGAGAAGCTGCAGCAGCTCTTCAACCACACCATGTTCATCCTGGAGCAGGAGGAGTACCAGCGCGAGGGCATCGAGTGGAACTTCATTGACTTTGGACTGGATTTGCAGCCCTGCATTGAGCTCATTGAGCGGCCGGTGAGGGCCCACAGCTCATTCGCATGTGTGTGGCCCCATTCAGCTGGCATGTGGACCCTGCCCTCTCTCCGTGTGCACACGGCTTCCCCCATCACCGAGTCCTTGTGAACTCAGTCACACTTTCCCCTAACCCACATTTTACTATCAAAGGTATTTTCTTTTTTTATTTCCCTCTCCTTCCTTCCCTCCCTCCTTCCCTTCCTTCCTTCTTTACTGCCCTCCTCTCTTTTCCATTCATTCATCCCCAAAGGCAAGCGTCTTTGTTTTTGTTGACTTATGTATCCCAAACTCCTAGGGCCACGCCCAGGGGAGGAGCACAATACATAATTGTTAAGCGACTGTTTACTGGGCCCCAGCTATATGCCAGGTCCCCCTGCTGAGGGGCTGGGGATGTGACCATGAACGAGATGGACATAGGAGCAGAGAAAGCAACTAAAATCCCTGATAAGACCAATGTGGAGAATGATTTAGGGAGGCCTGCTCTGCATAGAAAAGACCATTGGTAGCAGAACAGATGGCATATGCAAAGTTGGCATTCAGACTACCTCAGCCTTAGGGAAGTGTTTTACTAAAAGGGCCCCTGAAGTGAATTTATATGTAAAGCAAGAAATTCCTTGGCAAGAAGTGTGGAATTTTTGTGGTGTTGTGCATGAGTTGTCCACGAGGGGGCAGCAGCAAATCTGCCCATTGGACAGAGGCGATTTGAGGATAGACTGGGCACGGGTGGAGGGCATAAGTCCATCTTTACACATAGGCAGATACAGTCATAGGGCTGGGGGGACTTCCATGCGTGTGTTCGGGTCATCAACATTCCCTGGCGGGCCTGAGGCTTGGGCACCCTTGTCAGGATCCTGCCTTCTTGTCCTCCGCAGAACAACCCTCCAGGCGTGCTGGCCTTGCTGGACGAGGAGTGCTGGTTCCCCAAAGCCACAGACAAGTCCTTCGTGGAGAAGCTGTGCACAGAGCAGGGCAACCACCCCAAGTTTCAGAAGCCTAAGCAGCTCAAGGACAAAACTGAGTTCTCCATCATCCACTATGCTGGGAAGGTGCCAGCCGCAAGTCCCAGGGCACTCTCTGTCCCGGGGACCCAGGCAGGATGCTCAGAAGGGGAACGAGTTGGGAATGGCAGGACCCAAAAGCATCTGGTCTCAAATCAGATCCCAGCTAAGACCTGTATGTGATTTGTCTAAGCGTCTGTAAGGGAATATCTAAGTCTACACACACACACACACACACACACACACACACACACACACACACACACACACACACACACACACACAAGGGAATATCTAAGTCTACACACACACACACACACACACACACACCCCACCCCCTAATATATCCCAACCATGGTGGCCAGGCAGTTCTTTCCTGTATACACTCTAAATCCTTCTTGCTGTATGTTAAATCCATCAGAAAGGGTCAACTGGAATGGGATGGCCAATAAACCTACTTTGGGGTCCAACAAAAACCTCCCTTATCACGGCCCCAAGCTGGCCATTGCCAGCCTGTGCCATCCAGGGAAATCTGTGATGGCTGCCTTCCCTCTCTTCCCCTTGCCCCGGTCCTGGTCCTGGGTATTGTAGAAAAGACATAGCTCAGTCTGGCTTACAGAATCTTATTTCATTGTTCCTCCCATAGCCCTACTGCATCATGGGAACAGGCCACGCACTCTGCCAGCGGTTGGCCAGCTACAGCCCATGGTCCAAATCTGGCCCTAGGTCTGATTTTGTAAATGAGGTTTTGTGGGCACACAGCCACGCCCTTTTGTGTACAGAACATCTATGGCTGCTGTTATGCTGTAGTGGCAGCGGTGAGTAGTTACAGCAGAGACTGGCCTGCAGAGCTAAAAGTATTTACTATCTGGGCCCTCTACCAGAGAAGTCTGCCAACTCTTACCCTGCACTGAAGTGAGTGTACTTTCCCTTAAGCACCTAGAGGTAATGCTCTTCTTTTCCCTGCTTTATACGTGCATTTTTATTCCCATCTTCCTCTCAGAGTGGGCCTGACCATCCCCATGAATAAGAACCCACATCCATAATAACCCACCAGCACTATTTTACCAGTTCTTTCCATCTCACAGTTATGATAATAAAATGAAGGTTTTGGCCACTGTCAGTGATCAAGCCAGGAATTTTAAAAGCTTTATATGTCCTTTTTCTGTATATCCATGTATCAAAACTCCCAAGTTACAAAAATCACGCTCATCGAGAGAGCCCAAACATAATATAAAAACCCAGGACCATTGACAGGCCTTCTCTGGAGGAGAGGAGAGCTCTGGATGTGAGGGGGCGTTTGCCATCAGCAAAGCTCTGTACTGTTTGGAGCTCACAGGCATCAGGTGGGGCTCTGGAGAAAGGGGGCTGCAGGAGAAAGCAAGGAATAGAGAAGAGGCCTTCCCAGCAGTGGCCGCCACTGTGCACAAGGCCCTGTAATCTATGGGTCTCTTCAGTGGTGTATGTGGCTTCCCATCATGGCAGCTGCTCATGTCATTTCCTCTCTGACCCTGGATGATCTGGGGAGGGAAGCAGGAGGACTGGGGTCCTGCCCTTCTGCTGTACTGACGCAGAAGCCCCTGACCTGTGGGGTGGGTCCTTGGCAGGTGGACTACAATGCCAGCGCCTGGCTGACCAAGAACATGGACCCACTGAATGACAACGTGACTTCTCTCCTCAATGCCTCCTCAGACAAGTTTGTGGCTGACCTGTGGAAGGATGGTAAGGCCCCGCTGCTGGAGCTAGAGGGCTGAAAGCCAAGTCCCCCGCTGCCCCGATCCCCACACCCACTCCCAGGGGAGGCGGCCCATGTGGGGTGGGGAGCCGGCACCGTAGGCAGGTGCTGGTGACCGTATGTCGGTGCGTCCAGCACTTCCTGAGCACTGGCCCCCAAGCCCCTCAAGCCCACGCCTGGACCCCAGGGAGAAAGTGCCCAGTCAGGGCTGAGGCAGTAAGGGAGGAAGCAGTGCTCAGGCGTGTGAGTCCGAGCACCCCCAGCTGGAGTCAGAGGCCTCCGCTCCAGTCTGTCTCCAGCTGTGTGATCTTGCACGAGTCACTTGACTTGGCTAAGCTTCAGTGTCTTTGTTAGTAAACCAGGAAAATAATAAGAGCCCCCACCTCTCCCAGGATTACTGCGAGGGCTAAGTGAGACCAGTGGGGCTCCAGCTTAAGCATCAGGATCAGCTGGGGAGCGTGTTACCCAGGATGACGCTGGGCCCTGTCCCAGAGGTTCTGGTTCAGCACATCTCAGTGAGGCCTAAGAACCAGCATTTCTAACAAGCTCCTACATGGTGCTGATGCTGCTGGCCTGGGGACCAGGCAAGAGCTAATCCACATAAAGTGCTTAGCACCTCTAGGCCCCTAGTAAGGACTCAGGACCATGGGCCTTGGTGGTAACTCTTAGTGGTGGGGTGGGGTTTGCTGTTTTTGTTCCTGGACCTTGGTGCCCACAGCAGATTTTGTCCTTGGTGCAGAGCTTGTGGCCGCCCTTGTTTTAGGCACTGTAGAAAATACCTCAGAAGGGGGTCAGCTGTGCCAACATGTACTGACTTAACCCCTTACCATCATCACACTGTATTGTTTGTTGAGTCCTTAGTCATGTGCCAGGTTTCTACCTTTGGGTGTTTGCTAAACCTTCTGCCCAGGATATCATTTCCCTGGGTATCTACCTACCTGATTACACTTCTTCCCAGTCTCTGCTCAGGTATCAGCTTATCAGGGAGACGCCACCACCACCCTAACAGAGCACCCATCACTCTTGCCCCCTTTACTGGCCCTTATTTGTCTAAGCTGGTCCCACCACCCAAACAGTGGTGTATGAATGTACATGAGCGTTGCCTGTCTCCTTCCATTAGAATATTCACAGAATATGAGCCGAGGGGGAGGGTGGGTGGCAGGGAGACACCTTGCTTATTTCATGGCTGCATTCCTAGGGCTTAGCACATAATAGGCTCTCAGTAAATATTTAATGGTGGATAGAGATAGAAAGTGGGCTGGGAAATTGGCTCTTTGTATGCTTTATTCACCAATCTTGCACCAGCAGGTGGATGATGCTATTAAGTCCTGTTTGCAGAAGGAGAAACTGAGGCAAAAAATGGCACCAGGCCGAGGCAGTGCTAGAGTGGGTTTATTCCCAGATCTCTGTGACAGTATCAGAGAGACTTTGTTCTTAGTGTCACTCAGCAGCTCTCAGGATTTCCCAGATACTACTTAGAAAGCACTGCCTCCCCTCCTCCCCTCACCCCGGGCGGCAGAGGAAAGATGGTGGGTAGAGCCTTCCAAGGGGAGCAGGGACCCGGAGTCGGGGGCCCAGGGTGGGCCAGAGGCTGACACTGTCCTCAATGTGCCCCGCAGTGGACCGCATTGTGGGGCTGGACCAGATGGCCAAGATGACAGAGAGCTCGCTGCCCAGCGCCTCCAAGACCAAGAAGGGCATGTTCCGCACAGTGGGGCAGCTCTACAAAGAGCAGCTGGGGAAGCTGATGACCACGCTGCGCAACACCACGCCCAACTTTGTGCGCTGCATCATCCCCAACCACGAGAAGAGGGTGAGCCGCCCGGCCTCTCGGCAGGCCAGAAGGGCCCCCTGCAGACATCATCAGGGCCTTTGGGAAAGGGAGGGGCACACCAGTGCAGCGGGGCAGGCAGAAAGCCTGGGCCCCCACCCCCAGGGTTCCCTCTGACGTGGGTGGAGGGTTGTCTGAGTCCGGTACCCATTCCCCATCCTGGGGATGAAGGAAGGCAAGGGAGAAAGGGAGAATGTATGCAGGGTCAGCCCTGGAATTGTGTTCAGGGTATGAAATCACTTGTTCGTTCATTTTTTTAGTTAATACTGAGCTCCACCTGTGCCAGACACAGGGGGATACAGTTCCTGGATAAATTGTAGTTCCTGCCAGTAGGTTTCTTATAACCTAGTGGTAGGACACTCAGCTGGGGGCAGTTGTGTCCCCTGTCCCCTCAGGGGACATTGGCCATGTCTGAAGACATTTTTGGTTGTCATAACTGGGAGAGGGTGCTACTGGCTTCCAGTGTATAGAGACCAGGGAGGCTGCTGGACATCCTGTAGTCTCAGGACATCCCCCAGTGGAGACTCATCCAGCCTAAGATGTCAGTAGCCCTGAGGTTGTGGGGATCCCATGGGAGAGGTGGACACAAAAGCTGATATCTGCATTGTGTACAATAAATTACAAGGACTCTGAGCAGCCAGAGCTCCCGCTTCAGCCTCAGGGGAAGAAAAAGCTGCTTGGAGAATGGGCACTTGAAGAGTGAGTCAGCATTAACTTGGTAAAGTAGAAGGCAGGGTGGGGAGGGCATCCCCAGCAGAGGGACCAGGAGAAGCAGAAGTGTGGAAGTGAGAAATGAAGGATCTAGGCCAGGAAACTCTAGGCCAGTCGGTTCCTGTTGACATGTGAGGCCAGGATTGGGCAGAGATGGGGCTCAATCGGCAGGCAGGGGCTGGCCATGGAGCTCCTCGTGGGCTGACCCAAGCTTGGCCTTCCTTCTAAAGGATGCCACTGGGGGCTTTTAAAAGCAGGGGTCTGTCATGACCAGATGTATATTTTAGAAACCAAATGAGAGGGAGCAGAGGCAGGACAGGGATGGGAAGACCAGGCAGGGGGCTGTGGTGGCTGTCTGGCCAGGAGACAGTGGTGATGGAGGGAAGTGGGCAGATTGGAGCTATTTAAACGTCGGAGCTGTAGAGCTGGTGATGGACAGAAGGTGAGGGAAAGGGAGGTGACAGGAGAACGTCCCAGTGTCCAGCCAGGTGATGGTAGGGCCACCAAGTGCGAGAGAGACGGCACCTGATACCCCCACTGAGACCTCACCTGGTGGCTCTGTTAATCCCCAGTGGCCTGACAAACTGGGTCACCCAGGCCTGAGGTTTGGGGCTTGCTGCTCCCCAAGTGCTGGGCCCAGTGTCCACTGCCCTTTCTGCCTTTGCAGTCTGGCAAGCTGGATGCCTTTCTGGTGCTGGAGCAGCTGCGGTGCAATGGGGTGTTAGAGGGCATCCGGATCTGCCGTCAGGGCTTCCCCAACAGGATCGTCTTTCAGGAGTTCCGCCAACGGTGAGCCAGCTGTGACCAGGCACTGGTGGGGCAGGGGCAGCCGGGCCGGGTGGAGGGGCAGAAGGATGATGGAGAGGTGCCCGGTCAGTGACTTCTGCCCTGTGTCTCAAGCTACGAGATCCAGCTTATTTCATGGCTGCATTCCTAGGGCTTAGCACATAATAGGCTCTCAGTAAATATTTAATGGTGGATAGAGATAGAAAGTGGGCTGGGAAATTGGCTCTTTGTATGCTTTATTCACCAATCTTGCACCAGCAGGTGGATGATGCTATTAAGTCCTGTTTGCAGAAGGAGAAACTGAGGCAAAAAATGGCACCAGGCCGAGGCAGTGCTAGAGTGGGTTTATTCCCAGATCTCTGTGACAGTATCAGAGAGACTTTGTTCTTAGTGTCACTCAGCAGCTCTCAGGATTTCCCAGATACTACTTAGAAAGCACTGCCTCCCCTCCTCCCCTCACCCCGGGCGGCAGAGGAAAGATGGTGGGTAGAGCCTTCCAAGGGGAGCAGGGACCCGGAGTCGGGGGCCCAGGGTGGGCCAGAGGCTGACACTGTCCTCAATGTGCCCCGCAGTGGACCGCATTGTGGGGCTGGACCAGATGGCCAAGATGACAGAGAGCTCGCTGCCCAGCGCCTCCAAGACCAAGAAGGGCATGTTCCGCACAGTGGGGCAGCTCTACAAAGAGCAGCTGGGGAAGCTGATGACCACGCTGCGCAACACCACGCCCAACTTTGTGCGCTGCATCATCCCCAACCACGAGAAGAGGGTGAGCCGCCCGGCCTCTCGGCAGGCCAGAAGGGCCCCCCGCAGACATCATCAGGGCCTTTGGGAAAGGGAGGGGCACACCAGTGCAGCGGGGCAGGCAGAAAGCCTGGGCCCCCACCCCCAGGGTTCCCTCTGACGTGGGTGGAGGGTTGTCTGAGTCCGGTACCCATTCCCCATCCTGGGGATGAAGGAAGGCAAGGGAGAAAGGGAGAATGTATGCAGGGTCAGCCCTGGAATTGTGTTCAGGGTATGAAATCACTTGTTCGTTCATTTTTTTAGTTAATACTGAGCTCCACCTGTGCCAGACACAGGGGGATACAGTTCCTGGATAAATTGTAGTTCCTGCCAGTAGGTTTCTTATAACCTAGTGGTAGGACACTCAGCTGGGGGCAGTTGTGTCCCCTGTCCCCTCAGGGGACATTGGCCATGTCTGAAGACATTTTTGGTTGTCATAACTGGGAGAGGGTGCTACTGGCTTCCAGTGTATAGAGACCAGGGAGGCTGCTGGACATCCTGTAGTCTCAGGACATCCCCCAGTGGAGACTCATCCAGCCTAAGATGTCAGTAGCCCTGAGGTTGTGGGGATCCCATGGGAGAGGTGGACACAAAAGCTGATATCTGCATTGTGTACAATAAATTACAAGGACTCTGAGCAGCCAGAGCTCCCGCTTCAGCCTCAGGGGAAGAAAAAGCTGCTTGGAGAATGGGCACTTGAAGAGTGAGTCAGCATTAACTTGGTAAAGTAGAAGGCAGGGTGGGGAGGGCATCCCCAGCAGAGGGACCAGGAGAAGCAGAAGTGTGGAAGTGAGAAATGAAGGATCTAGGCCAGGAAACTCTAGGCCAGTCGGTTCCTGTTGACATGTGAGGCCAGGATTGGGCAGAGATGGGGCTCAATCGGCAGGCAGGGGCTGGCCATGGAGCTCCTCGTGGGCTGACCCAAGCTTGGCCTTCCTTCTAAAGGATGCCACTGGGGGCTTTTAAAAGCAGGGGTCTGTCATGACCAGATGTATATTTTAGAAACCAAATGAGAGGGAGCAGAGGCAGGACAGGGATGGGAAGACCAGGCAGGGGGCTGTGGTGGCTGTCTGGCCAGGAGACAGTGGTGATGGAGGGAAGTGGGCAGATTGGAGCTATTTAAACGTCGGAGCTGTAGAGCTGGTGATGGACAGAAGGTGAGGGAAAGGGAGGTGACAGGAGAACGTCCCAGTGTCCAGCCAGGTGATGGTAGGGCCACCAAGTGCGAGAGAGACGGCACCTGATACCCCCACTGAGACCTCACCTGGTGGCTCTGTTAATCCCCAGTGGCCTGACAAACTGGGTCACCCAGGCCTGAGGTTTGGGGCTTGCTGCTCCCCAAGTGCTGGGCCCAGTGTCCACTGCCCTTTCTGCCTTTGCAGTCTGGCAAGCTGGATGCCTTTCTGGTGCTGGAGCAGCTGCGGTGCAATGGGGTGTTAGAGGGCATCCGGATCTGCCGTCAGGGCTTCCCCAACAGGATCGTCTTTCAGGAGTTCCGCCAACGGTGAGCCAGCTGTGACCAGGCACTGGTGGGGCAGGGGCAGCCGGGCCGGGTGGAGGGGCAGAAGGATGATGGAGAGGTGCCCGGTCAGTGACTTCTGCCCTGTGTCTCAAGCTACGAGATCCTGGCCGCAAACGCCATTCCCAAAGGCTTCATGGACGGGAAGCAGGCCTGCATCCTCATGGTGAGCCCTGTCCCAGCTCCACCCCAGATACCAGCTGCCAACCTCCCAGCTCTGGGGGTGCCACCTATGGCTGCTCCCCAAACACACTCAATCCCAGGCCACATGGCACAGCTGAGAATGCACCCCGCGCCCTCCTTCCTTCTGCAGATCAAAGCCCTAGAACTCGACCCCAACTTGTACAGGATTGGCCAGAGCAAAATCTTCTTCCGAACGGGGGTCCTGGCCCACCTGGAGGAGGAGCGAGATCTGAAGATCACCGACGTCATCATGGCTTTCCAGGCCATGTGCCGCGGCTACCTGGCCAGAAAGTAAAGCCGCCTGCTGTCACCTCCCCCGAACACAGGCCAGAGATGCGTGCGCTGAGGGTGCTCCCCCGCAGCCGGGCTCCTCAGCGCACCCCTCCCCTCTCTGCAGGGCCTTCGCCAAGAGGCAGCAGCAGCTGACGGCCATGAAGGTGATTCAGAGGAACTGTGCCGCCTACCTCAAGCTGCGCAACTGGCAGTGGTGGAGGCTCTTCACCAAGGCAAGTGCTCACCCAGCTCCTCGGGATCCCCGGCCTGCTGCCTCCCTGCAGGCAGTGCAGGGACTGGGCCAGAGATGGCCGCATGGCTGTGCTGCTGAGGCCTGGGGTCCAGCCTCTCCCCTTGTGACTCCTGGGGCCAAGGCAGCTCCTCCTTGGTACATGGGGCACAGCTGTGACCATGACCTTAACATGGAGCCAGGACCTCCCCGTCATCACAGGGGCCCTCATGTCACCTGTTTACAGCCACACCCATTTCCTTCCAGAGCAATGGCAACCACCACTTCTCCTTTTCTGTAATTTTTTCATCCTGAGAATGTCACATAAATGGGGTCCTACAGTATGTCACCTTTGGGGATTAGTATCTTTCACAAAGTGCCATTCTCTGGAGACCTTCCAGGTCATTGTGTGTATCAACTGTGTGTTCCTCCGGGTACAACATGTTCTTGCAGCGTCCCCGGCTATTAACAAGCCACTTGCACAAAGACATGCTCTTTGCGACAGATGCTGCTTCCCCTCATGGGCCATTGGATGTGTGATGGGCACAAACCTTTTCATTGAGCAAATGGTTATGCAGTGCCCACTGTGTGCCAGGCGTGTGCAAGGTGCTGGGGATACAAGCGGCACAGATTCTGTGGGGCCCGGCCTCATGAATATTCTAGTTGAGTGGCCGTGCAGCCAGTGAGCAGATAAACACCGAAACAAACACATCCCAGCAAACCAGGGTAAGCACAGGAGAGAAGCCACAGTCTACACAAGAGGTGCTTCCAGGAGCCAGGTGAGGGCTTGGACACAGGAGTTAGGAGTCAGTCTGGCGGAGAACAGCAACACATTTTTGGAAATGTTCATTCTTATCCACCCAAGTTCTGAAAACACTAAGCTAAGAAAGCCATCCAAATAAAGAAAATCTGGAATTAGGGACATTCCACCAGCCTTACTTACAGTAGCAAAATTTCCATGCCCAGCGCCCATCCATTCATTAGATCAATAATGGTTCATGCATCAATTGGTGAAAAGCATTTCAACTATCAAGAATGATGGTTCTCTAAAAAGGAAGTTGTAAAAATGGTAGAATACCATAGGGCAATAATTATCTTAAAGTTTTAAGTAATAAATGCAGAATATAAACCCGGGCAAGCATGATCTCGGGAGTATTTTTTTAAATGTGTAGGAAGAAAGGCTGGCAGGAAATGCCAGCAATGTCAATTATGACCTTGATGGGGAGGTAGGATATGTGGGAGTGTTTTTTCTTTTGTCCTTGGAGGGAAAGGTATCAGTCTGTCAACTGTAATTCTCTGGGATGGGACACAGGAGGAGAGACTTTCTCCTTTCATTTTGTACCTTTTTCAGTTGCTGTAGTTTATGGTGTCTTACCCTCGGCCCTACTGATGTTTGGATGCTAATTCGGTGTTGTGGGGGTTGTCCTATGTATTCTAGAATATTTAGCGGCATCCCTGGCTTGTCAATGAAACTGTCTCCAGAAATTGCCAAAGTCCCCTTGAGGGGTGTGGGGTGGGGTAAAATTGTCCCTACCCGAGAAACATGGATCTAATTTGTTACAAGACTGTATCCCTTGTGCCATGAAAACAAGTAACAGGCTGACTGTGTGTGCACAGGTGAAGCCCCTGCTGCAGGTGACGCGGCAGGAGGAGGAGATGCAGGCCAAGGAGGATGAGCTGCAGAAGATCAAGGAGCGGCAGCAGAAGGCAGAGGGCGAGCTCAAGGAGCTGGAGCAGAAGCACACGCAGGTGCAGGGCCGGGAGCAGACCAGGCGGCAGAGGGAGGGGAGGGTACATGCCCTATGGGGCTCACTGGGTGCCTCTGTGCCCTGTATGCAGCTGGCAGAGGAGAAGAACCTGCTGCAGGAGCAGCTGCAGGCGGAGACGGAGCTGTATGCTGAGGCTGAGGAGATGCGCGTCCGACTGGCAGCCAAGAAGCAGGAGCTGGAGGAGATCCTGCATGAGATGGAGGCCCGCCTGGAGGAGGAGGAAGACCGGGGCCAGCAGCTCCAGGCAGAAAAGAAGAAGATGGCGCAGCAGATGCTGGTAAGGCACTGCAGGGGCCACCCTCAGTGGGCCCCAAATCATTTGACCACTGCAGGCCTGTGAGGGGTGTCTGATTATATATTTCCCTACTGGGCAAAGAAAGAGACTGTGGTTTGGCCACCTGTCCAAGGCCACAGAACTAGAGCTGAGATCACAACCCAGGTCTCCTTAAGGGCCCACTTTGTTCTCCTGCCCTGCCTTTCACGTGCTGACATCTTTTCCTCTAATAGCATCCCTGTGTGAGGGATGATTATATTAGTTAGTTATTGTTGCAGAATGAAACACCCCAAAATGTTTGAGCTTGAAATGGTAAACCTTTATCCCACACAGTCAGTCACGTGAGTGGCTTAGCTGGGTGGTTCTGGCTTAAGAGTCTCTTGTGAGGTTGCAGTCAGGACGTCAGCTGGGGCGGCAGTCGTCAGGCAGCTTCACTCACATGGCTGTAGGCAGGAGGCCTCAGGTCCTCACCGCGTGGGCTCCTCCGCAGGGCTGCCCGAGTGTCCTCACAGCACGGTGGCTGGCTTCCCCCAGGAGGAGTGAATGGCCCTTTAAGCCTAAGCTCTGACATATTGGTTCTCTCTTCCTCTTGCTTCTTTTATTTGTTAGAAGCGAGACAATAAGTCCGGCCCACACTCAAGGGGAGAGGAATTAGTTCCACCTGTTGAAGCAAAGAGTATCAAAGGATTTGTGGACATAATTTAAAACCACCATGGTATCTACTATCCCCATCTTATAGATGAGGAGACTGAGCCTCCAAGGGGGCTTCCCCAAACCTTTTCTTTCCGGAGTCTGCGGAGCACTGGGGGTTACAGGCCCAGCCTCGGCACCAGTTAGTCCCCAGAGCTCCGGAAGAGTGGCTTTGTTTTAAGCAAGGCTGTGATTCTTTTCTCTCCCCAACAAAGGACCTGGAAGAACAGCTGGAGGAGGAGGAAGCTGCGAGGCAGAAGCTACAACTCGAGAAGGTCACAGCCGAGGCCAAGATCAAGAAACTGGAGGATGATATCCTGGTCATGGATGATCAGAACAATAAACTGACAAAAGTGAGTGGGGTTGACCACCTGCATTAACATGACAGGCTCGCCAGGGCTGAGGACTCCAGACACTGTCCCTTTTTAGTGAAATGCAAGGTATCAAAGGCGGAGCAGATGGTTATCTCCAGCAGTGACAAGGCGGCCTTGGGACTGTTGTCAGGATGCAGGTGCACCAAGACTGAGGCCCTGCCGGTCCTACCAGCACCAGGGCTGCCACAGAGCAAGTCTCAGGAACAGCATGGCCAGTGGAAACCCCCAAGTTGTGCAAAGGCCATGTGCCTGAGATTCAGTGACCTTTCCCACATTCTCATGGATGACTTCCAGTTAGGAATTAGGGTGGCCAGCTGTCCTGGTTTACCTGAGATGGAGGGGTTTCTGGGATGGGGGACTTTCAGCACCCAAACCAGATAAGTCGCATTGTAAATGGGAATGAGTATGTCACCCTAGTCAGTACCCACTGACCAGCCCCACTGAGGGAGGCTCCCTTTAGTTCTTTGTGCTAGATGTCAGCTGGGCACCTCCTGTGAGCCAGGCCCTGTGTTAGGTATAGGGCATGTATGGTGAGGAAGGGCCCTGTCCTTGTGGGCTCATACCCTAGTGAGGTAAAGAACAGATAATCATACATGTTAACTATTAATTATTATCACAATCAGGGTGCTGAAGGAGGTGTTCAACATATTATAAAAAGAGAGCAATTTGGAGGTGGAGGTGAGGTATTTAGGGAAGGCTTCTGGGAGGAAGTGACATTTAAATGCAACCTGAAGAATGAAGAACAGTTAGAGGGAGAAGCAGGTGGAGGAGCATCCCAGGCAGGTGGTCCCATCAGTGCAAAAGCCCTGAGCCAGGGAAGAGCTGGCATTTGGTAGGAAAGGGGAGAGGGCCCCACAGGCTAGAAACTGAAACACGAGGGGCAGAGCAGCAGGAGATGAGAAGGCTGATTCGGGGGAATTATTATTAAGTAATTTCTCCTAGAGGTCATATTTGGTTTTAACATGGGTTATCTGGAGATGACTAAAAGAGAAACGTAGATCCCGGAGGAAAAAAAAAATGTTAGTGCTATTTCCTTTTCTTTCCCCCAAAAGGAGCGAAAACTCCTTGAAGAAAGGATTAGTGACTTAACAACAAATCTTGCAGAAGAGGAAGAAAAGGCGAAAAATCTTACCAAGCTAAAAAACAAGCACGAATCTATGATTTCAGAACTGGAAGGTAAACTGGCTCTGCAAAGAGGTTTCAAATGGATGTTTTAAAACTAGGGAAATCAGAGGGGAAATTTGAGCATGGCAGATGATTTCAAGAGATGTACATCCTATCCAAGCCCCCCATCACCCTTAGTCAACACACACGCTGAAGAGAGGTGCTCTCCTCCGGACGGACCTCCCTTCCAGGAGGTGGTAGTCTGGGCTGTGACAGTTTCCAGCGGGGGTGTGTGTGTGCGTGCAGCTCCTCTGTGTGAAATGCCTGAGCGGAAAGGCTCATGCTCCAGGCATCTTGCTGGTAGATTCCACCTCTTGAAGGGCCCCTGGCTTTGTTGCAGTGCGGCTGAAGAAGGAGGAGAAGAACCGGCAGGAGCTGGAGAAGCTGAAACGGAAGCTGGAGGGTGAGGCCAGCGACTTCCACGAGCAGATCGCGGACCTGCAGGCACAGATCGCGGAGCTCAAGATGCAGCTGGCCAAGAAAGAAGAGGAGCTGCAGGCAGCCCTGAGCAGGTAGCAGGCCAGCAGAGGTGTGTCCTGCATGTTCCTGTGCCCTGTGGGCCCATCCTCAGTGGCCTTGGTCCTGCTCCTCCAGGCAGGCCTCCGTTTCATACATGGTGGTGGCCCAGTCCGGCTTCACCTGCAGTACCTGCTGCTGACTTGCCTCTCCTTCCTCCAGGCTCATCTTCTCTTTGCTGTCCCCCCTAATCTCACCTGTCTGCCTTTCAGATGTCCAGAGCTTTCTCGTCTACATCCTAGTTCTAGATTTCCAGTTGCTATTGTACTAGCATCTCAAACGTCACGTGTCTGAGGCTGGGGCAACCCTTCTGTCCCCTGGCCCTCCTGAAGTCCCTCTTTGAGTGAATGCCAACCTCCTTCCTGGCTTCCCCCACCTGTCTTCTCCACCCAGAGCCAGCAGCAGCCTCGAGGTCTGCCAGTCCTTTGAAATGTGCCCGCACACCCACTCTCTGTTTTTCCCTCCTCCCAGCTCTCAGCCGGGTTCACAATGATGGCCTCACACTGGGAACATTGCAACAACTAATGGTTATTCACCAGCTTGCTGTGTGTTAAGGTCCTGTCAGGCAGAATCTCTGCAGACACCCAATGAGGTATGCTGCTGTGACCTCCAAGGTCACTGAGCAGGAAGCTGAGCCTTGGAGCAATGAAGGAATGTGTGACTGTCACACAGTTTAGGAAGGCAGAGCTAGGATTCGAGTCCCACAATTTTCTGGCTGATCCCCTGGCCAGCTTTTTCTTCCAGTTCATGCTGCATGACATGAAGCAAGGTGATAGAGGGTACATGCCCTATGGGGCTCACTGGGTGCCTCTGTGCCCTGTATGCAGCTGGCAGAGGAGAAGAACCTGCTGCAGGAGCAGCTGCAGGCGGAGACGGAGCTGTATGCTGAGGCTGAGGAGATGCGCGTCCGACTGGCAGCCAAGAAGCAGGAGCTGGAGGAGATCCTGCATGAGATGGAGGCCCGCCTGGAGGAGGAGGAAGACCGGGGCCAGCAGCTCCAGGCAGAAAAGAAGAAGATGGCGCAGCAGATGCTGGTAAGGCACTGCAGGGGCCACCGTCAGTGGGCCCCAAATCATTTGACCACTGCAGGCCTGTGAGGGGTGTCTGATTATATATTTCCCTACTGGGCAAAGAAAGAGACTGTGGTTTGGCCACCTGTCCAAGGCCACAGAACTAGAGCTGAGATCACAACCCAGGTCTCCTTAAGGGCCCACTTTGTTCTCCTGCCCTGCCTTTCACGTGCTGACATCTTTTCCTCTAATAGCATCCCTGTGTGAGGGATGATTATATTAGTTAGTTATTGTTGCAGAATGAAACACCCCAAAATGTTTGAGCTTGAAATGGTAAACCTTTATCCCACACAGTCAGTCACGTGAGTGGCTTAGCTGGGTGGTTCTGGCTTAAGAGTCTCTTGTGAGGTTGCAGTCAGGACGTCAGCTGGGGCGGCAGTCGTCAGGCAGCTTCACTCACATGGCTGTAGGCAGGAGGCCTCAGGTCCTCACCGCGTGGGCTCCTCCGCAGGGCTGCCCGAGTGTCCTCACAGCACGGTGGCTGGCTTCCCCCAGGAGGAGTGAATGGCCCTTTAAGCCTAAGCTCTGACATATTGGTTCTCTCTTCCTCTTGCTTCTTTTATTTGTTAGAAGCGAGACAATAAGTCCGGCCCACACTCAAGGGGAGAGGAATTAGTTCCACCTGTTGAAGCAAAGAGTATCAAAGGATTTGTGGACATAATTTAAAACCACCATGGTATCTACTATCCCCATCTTATAGATGAGGAGACTGAGCCTCCAAGGGGGCTTCCCCAAACCTTTTCTTTCCGGAGTCTGCGGAGCACTGGGGGTTACAGGCCCAGCCTCGGCACCAGTTAGTCCCCAGAGCTCCGGAAGAGTGGCTTTGTTTTAAGCAAGGCTGTGATTCTTTTCTCTCCCCAACAAAGGACCTGGAAGAACAGCTGGAGGAGGAGGAAGCTGCGAGGCAGAAGCTACAACTCGAGAAGGTCACAGCCGAGGCCAAGATCAAGAAACTGGAGGATGATATCCTGGTCATGGATGATCAGAACAATAAACTGACAAAAGTGAGTGGGGTTGACCACCTGCATTAACATGACAGGCTCGCCAGGGCTGAGGACTCCAGACACTGTCCCTTTTTAGTGAAATGCAAGGTATCAAAGGCGGAGCAGATGGTTATCTCCAGCAGTGACAAGGCGGCCTTGGGACTGTTGTCAGGATGCAGGTGCACCAAGACTGAGGCCCTGCCGGTCCTACCAGCACCAGGGCTGCCACAGAGCAAGTCTCAGGAACAGCATGGCCAGTGGAAACCCCCAAGTTGTGCAAAGGCCATGTGCCTGAGATTCAGTGACCTTTCCCACATTCTCATGGATGACTTCCAGTTAGGAATTAGGGTGGCCAGCTGTCCTGGTTTACCTGAGATGGAGGGGTTTCTGGGATGGGGGACTTTCAGCACCCAAACCAGATAAGTCGCATTGTAAATGGGAATGAGTATGTCACCCTAGTCAGTACCCACTGACCAGCCCCACTGAGGGAGGCTCCCTTTAGTTCTTTGTGCTAGATGTCAGCTGGGCACCTCCTGTGAGCCAGGCCCTGTGTTAGGTATAGGGCATGTATGGTGAGGAAGGGCCCTGTCCTTGTGGGCTCATACCCTAGTGAGGTAAAGAACAGATAATCATACATGTTAACTATTAATTATTATCACAATCAGGGTGCTGAAGGAGGTGTTCAACATATTATAAAAAGAGAGCAATTTGGAGGTGGAGGTGAGGTATTTAGGGAAGGCTTCTGGGAGGAAGTGACATTTAAATGCAACCTGAAGAATGAAGAACAGTTAGAGGGAGAAGCAGGTGGAGGAGCATCCCAGGCAGGTGGTCCCATCAGTGCAAAAGCCCTGAGCCAGGGAAGAGCTGGCATTTGGTAGGAAAGGGGAGAGGGCCCCACAGGCTAGAAACTGAAACACGAGGGGCAGAGCAGCAGGAGATGAGAAGGCTGATTCGGGGGAATTATTATTAAGTAATTTCTCCTAGAGGTCATATTTGGTTTTAACATGGGTTATCTGGAGATGACTAAAAGAGAAACGTAGATCCCGGAGGAAAAAAAAAATGTTAGTGCTATTTCCTTTTCTTTCCCCCAAAAGGAGCGAAAACTCCTTGAAGAAAGGATTAGTGACTTAACAACAAATCTTGCAGAAGAGGAAGAAAAGGCGAAAAATCTTACCAAGCTAAAAAACAAGCACGAATCTATGATTTCAGAACTGGAAGGTAAACTGGCTCTGCAAAGAGGTTTCAAATGGATGTTTTAAAACTAGGGAAATCAGAGGGGAAATTTGAGCATGGCAGATGATTTCAAGAGATGTACATCCTATCCAAGCCCCCCATCACCCTTAGTCAACACACACGCTGAAGAGAGGTGCTCTCCTCCGGACGGACCTCCCTTCCAGGAGGTGGTAGTCTGGGCTGTGACAGTTTCCAGCGGGGGTGTGTGTGTGCGTGCAGCTCCTCTGTGTGAAATGCCTGAGCGGAAAGGCTCATGCTCCAGGCATCTTGCTGGTAGATTCCACCTCTTGAAGGGCCCCTGGCTTTGTTGCAGTGCGGCTGAAGAAGGAGGAGAAGAACCGGCAGGAGCTGGAGAAGCTGAAACGGAAGCTGGAGGGTGAGGCCAGCGACTTCCACGAGCAGATCGCGGACCTGCAGGCACAGATCGCGGAGCTCAAGATGCAGCTGGCCAAGAAAGAAGAGGAGCTGCAGGCAGCCCTGAGCAGGTAGCAGGCCAGCAGAGGTGTGTCCTGCATGTTCCTGTGCCCTGTGGGCCCATCCTCAGTGGCCTTGGTCCTGCTCCTCCAGGCAGGCCTCCGTTTCATACATGGTGGTGGCCCAGTCCGGCTTCACCTGCAGTACCTGCTGCTGACTTGCCTCTCCTTCCTCCAGGCTCATCTTCTCTTTGCTGTCCCCCCTAATCTCACCTGTCTGCCTTTCAGATGTCCAGAGCTTTCTCGTCTACATCCTAGTTCTAGATTTCCAGTTGCTATTGTACTAGCATCTCAAACGTCACGTGTCTGAGGCTGGGGCAACCCTTCTGTCCCCTGGCCCTCCTGAAGTCCCTCTTTGAGTGAATGCCAACCTCCTTCCTGGCTTCCCCCACCTGTCTTCTCCACCCAGAGCCAGCAGCAGCCTCGAGGTCTGCCAGTCCTTTGAAATGTGCCCGCACACCCACTCTCTGTTTTTCCCTCCTCCCAGCTCTCAGCCGGGTTCACAATGATGGCCTCACACTGGGAACATTGCAACAACTAATGGTTATTCACCAGCTTGCTGTGTGTTAAGGTCCTGTCAGGCAGAATCTCTGCAGACACCCAATGAGGTATGCTGCTGTGACCTCCAAGGTCACTGAGCAGGAAGCTGAGCCTTGGAGCAATGAAGGAATGTGTGACTGTCACACAGTTTAGGAAGGCAGAGCTAGGATTCGAGTCCCACAATTTTCTGGCTGATCCCCTGGCCAGCTTTTTCTTCCAGTTCATGCTGCATGACATGAAGCAAGGTGATCAACCAAAAACACCCCTCTGGGTCATGAACCTGCTCAGAGAACTTTGCTGGCATGTATGGGAAAAGCCAGGTTCCCTAGCCTGGCACTCAAAGCCCACCTGCCCTCTGCAGTCGGACCCTAACCCAACCATTCCGCTTTCTCTCTTACCACTGCCCAATCACAAATACAATATGACCCAAGAGCTTACCTCTCCCCGCCCTGCAGACCCTTGCCCCTGTGCCCCCAGCTATGCCGTTCCTGTTCCATCCCTCATGGGTGAACCAGAGGCCAGTCTTCCATGCGGCAGCAGGCAGCTCCCCTCCATGAAGCTCCTAACGCACTTGTGCCATTCGAACAGTGCTTCTCCTGTCCCACCAAGAACCATGGTCACTGTCTCCCCCAGTTTGGGGGCCCTGGTTTTACTATCTGCACCCCCCCACCCCACTCCATGCAGCACCTGGCCAAGTGCTTTGCCTGAAGCAGGCACTCAGTCACTGTTTGAGCAAAAGGAAGGACTAATAAGTAGTTGCCAGAGAGGAATAACTGCCCAACATTCATAAAGCATTCCTTAATCAACTGATGTGAACTGGGCAGCTTGCTGTCTGGAACCTGCACTTTACACAAACACACACACACCTGTGCTTTACACACACACACACGTTTTTGTTTGTATTAAAGTATCATTGATATACAATCTTATGATGGTTTCACATAAACAACACAGTGGTTTCAACATTCACCTATATTATCAAGTCCTCGCCCCGCCCCCACCCTTCCAATCACTGTCCATCAGTGTAGTAAGATGCTACAGACTCATTACTTCTCTTCTCCGTGCTGTACTGCCTTCCTCTTGACCTACCTATATTGTGATTGTGAATTATAGTGCCCCTTAATCCCCTTCTCCCTCCCCACCCACCCCCACGCTCCCCACTAGTCCCCTCTTGGAGTCTGTGAGTCTGCTGCTGTTTTGTTCCTTCAGTTCTGCTTTGTTGTTACACTCCACAAATAATCAAAGTCATTTGGTATTTGTCTTTCTCCACCTGGCTTATTTCACTGAGCTTAATACCCTCTAGCTCCAGTCATGTTGTTGCAAATGGTAGGATTTGTTTTCTTCTTATGGCTGAATAATATTCCATTGTGTATATGTACCACCTCTTCTTTATCCATTCATCTACTGATGGACATTTAGATTGCTTCCATGTCTTGAAAATAGTGCTGCAATAAACATAGGGGTGCATATGTCTTTCTGAATCAGGGATCTTGTTTTCTTAGGGTAAATTCCTAGGAGTGGAAATACTGGATCAAATGGTATTTCTAGTTTTAGTTTTTTGAGGAACCTCCATGCTGCTTTCTACAACAGTTGAACCAATTTACATTCCCACTGACAGTATAGGAGGGTTCCCCTTTCTCTACATCCTCGCCAACATTTGTTGTTTCTTGTCTTTTGGATGTTGGCCATCCTAACTGGTGTGAAGTGATATCTCACTGTGGCTTTAATTTGCATTTCCCTGGTGATTAGTGATGTGGAGCATCTTTTCATGTGCCTGTTGGCCTTCTGAATTTCTTCTTTGGAGAAGGGTCTGTTCCGATCCTCTGCCCATTTTTTAATCAGGTTATTTGTTTTTTTAGATGTTGAGGCATGTGAGTTCTCTATATATTTTGGTTGTTAACCCCTTATTGGATATGTCATTTACAAATATATTGTCCCATACTTTAGGGTGTCTTTTTGTTCTGCTGATGGTGTCCTTTGCTGTATAGAAGCTTTTTAGTTTGATGTAGTTCCACTTGTTCATTGTTGCTTTTCTTTCCCTTGCCCCAGGAGATATGTTCAGGAAAAAGTTGCTCATGTTTATAGTCAAGAGATTTTTGCCTCTCTTTTCTTCTAAGAGTTTTATGGTTTCATGACTTACATTCAGGTCGTTGATCCATTTTAAGTTTACTTTTGTGTATGGAGTTAGACAATAATCCAGTTTCACTCTCTTACATGTAGCTGTCCACTTTTCCCAATGCCAGTTTTTGAAAAGGCTGTCATTTCCTCATTGTATGTCCATGGCTCCTTTATCATATATTAATTGACAATATATGCTTGGGTTTATATCTGGCCTCTCCATTCTGTTCCATTGATCTACGGGTCTATTCTTGTGCCAGTACCAAGTTGTTTTGATTACTGTGGCTTTGTAGTATAGCTTGAAGTTGGGGTGCGTAATCCCCCCAGCTTTGTTCTTCCTTCTCAGGATTGCTGTGGCTATTCAGGCACACCTGTTTTTTAATATCAGATCTTGGAACTCATGTCCTATGTAAGTCTCCAAGCAGTCCAACATAGCAAGAAAGGGTCTGCTGTGTCTTGGTGACATGGGCGGGGCCATGTGTTAATATCTATGGAACATGAGGGGCTAGTTCTGGAAAGCAGTTTTTGGCATCTTGTGAGATAGCAGGGGACCAGGGACTCCAGGGTCTTAATTCCAGTGATCTGTCCCTGGCAGGCTCGATGATGAAATTGCTCAGAAGAACAACGCCCTGAAGAAGATCCGGGAGCTGGAGGGTCACATCTCAGACCTCCAGGAGGACCTGGACTCAGAACGGGCTGCAAGAAACAAGGCTGAGAAGCAGAAGCGAGACCTGGGGGAGGAGCTGGAGGCACTGAAGACAGAGCTGGAGGACACGCTGGACAGCACGGCCACCCAGCAGGAGCTCAGGTGAGACCATGGCCCCCTGATCCCAGCAGCTCCTGCTGTCCCACCACACTGGTGGGATAGCTGGTGTAGAGGGGCAAACCCAAAGAAAATCCCGAGTCATGGGGTTCCTCAGGCCCTGTGCTTACTGTCCTGATTGCATTTTGCTTTAACCAGCAGAAGCATGATTCTTGTACATCTCATTTTGCAGTGCAATAGTAGGACATATTTAAATCAAGAATGATTTGAAAACTGTAATAAAGTAGACTGCAAAAATATCACCCACTGTCCCTCCACAGTTGATAGTTTTGGGTACTTCCTTGCCTGTTTTTCCAGGTGTGTGTATGTATGGGGTGGGCAAGAGCTCCGGTTCTTCTGCACAACATGTCTGAGGTGAACCTCTGTCTCCCAACCAAACTGCCATCTCCCGTATCCTTTCTGTCCAGGGCCAAGAGGGAGCAGGAGGTGACGGTGCTGAAGAAGGCCCTGGATGAGGAGACCCGGTCCCACGAGGCCCAGGTCCAGGAGATGAGGCAGAAGCACACCCAGGCAGTGGAGGAGCTCACGGAGCAGCTCGAGCAGTTCAAGAGGGTAAGCTGCCATGCTTTGGTGCACATAAGAGCACAATATGTCCCTTCAAATAGCTGTGTCTGTCCTGACACCAGCTGTGCCAGGTTCTAATAATAACGATGGCAGCCAGTGTCTGTAATGGGCTTAGTGTACATGTAAGTGTACAGAGCCACCCCGTGTAGGCAATGTTCACCCATTTTACACATGAAGAACCTGAGGTCCAGAGTGCCTGCTGGTGAAGAGACTGACCTCGGGTCCCACAGCTGGAGACGGAGCCAGGCTTTGAACCTGCAGTCAGGCTCTGGACGCACCGCTTAGTCTCTCCAGGGTGGCGTCTGCAGTACACTGCACCCCAGAGAAAAGGAAAGGTTTAGCAACAGTTCTGCACGTCTGATGATTGGGCACCTTCTATGCATCATAAATTCTCTGCAGATTGGAGGAAGACTCATAATTTGGCTTCAGTGGCAGAACAGTGCTCTGGCCTGGTTGAGAATGGCTGGATTAATCCTTCTTCCTTCCTTGGGCTGCTGTGGGGGTGTGGGATCCACGGTAATTAAACAGCACTGCTCTGAGGGCTTCTTGTTGGCAACTTCCTGCCCCTGAGGAGGAGAAGCGTGGTGTTTCATTCCCAGGGGGGAGTTTTTTTATAGCCGTGGCCTCCTGCTGCCCTGCTTCCCTGAGAGTCCAGATTATATCACCGATCACCCCCACACTTTCTAAGTAGCCCCCAGGCCCCCACACTTTCTAAGTAGCCCCCAGGCTAGGCTGAATGGGTGGAGCATTCCCTGAACATGGTTGGACGCAGACTTTGTTTCTATTGCCAGCCCAGGTGACTGTTCTTCCTTGAGGTGGCTTATTGAGCATCTTCCAGGGAGGTGGTTCACCGCCTGTTCTATCAATCTCACAATGCCCTGTCCATCAAAATGTTAGCAACCCCTTGTGTAGCCCTGATTATGGACCAGACACTGTTCCATTGTACAAACACTCACTCATTTAATTTCACTGCTAACAATTGTTAAAATTCAGATCTCCAGGCCCTGAACTCTGAAAAGCATTGTGCAAGACTGAGCCCCTTTCCCCCTCCAAATGAATAAAAGGACATGTGTTGACGTCCCCTTGTCACTTGTCAACTGGGATCTCAATACTAAATCTTCAACAGTTTGTCGATCCTTCCATATTTTGGACAAATAAGAGTGTGCTAGCTGTAACTACAGCATACTTTCCCCCTTTTGATTGTCTTCTCTTTTTTACGTTCAGAAGTTATTTTTTATATCATTTGAACCCTGATGGGCTACTCCCACCACCTGAAATAATTAGCCCTCCAGACAGTAGTGAGGTGTACATGTCCCTTTAACTTTCTGGCTGGAAGAGTGGGGTCCCAGGAAGGGTAACTGACTATCCTCCAGCTAGGTGGTCATCAGAGGTGAGCAGGGGCTGAAAGCCAAGCCCTGAATTCACAGCCAGGTCTCTTTGGAAACTCAGCCTTTCTTGCCCCCAGCAGACAGCATCTGTCTGTGTAGTGGGTAGAGCCTGGGAACTCCTGCCTGTCATCTCAGAGGCACAGAAAACGAGGGTGGGCTGTATTTTACCTCCAGCAACTTTGCTTTGGACTTGGTTCCTGGTTCCATCAGCTTCTTGGGGAAAACCTTTAACATCCTACCTCGGCTCCCTTGCACACATGTAGTTTTGGCACAGTTCTGGGAAAAAGGTCTTAGGTTGGTCTCAGGTTTTAGGGGAGCCCAGATCCCCTGAGGTCTCCCAGGAGCCTTGCTTATTGACCTGCACTGTTTCCCCTCAGAGATACTTTGTCCCTGTCTAGGGTCCTGGCAGCTTAGTTCTACTGTAGCACAGGAATGGCTTCCGAGGTGACCTGGACACTGCACAGCACCTCCCCAGGGCCTGTGGGAAAGCCATGTTTCCTCTGGTCTGGGGACCCACACAGTTCTGCTTCTTTCCTCCTCCCTACAGCCCTGGGAGAAGCCCTCTCCTCTCTCCTGTTTTTGCCCCAAACACTTTTTTTCTTAGGGATTCTTAAATGCCTACAGGAGCTGGTTAGATAAAATAACTTTCTCTTAAATCTCACAGAAATAGCAGTGTACATTTAATGATAAATGTGATGGTGATAACGGAGTGGTGGACACTAGGGCCAAGTGGAGTATAGGGCTAGCTGCTACTGAAGAGCCAGCTCAATGTTGCCTGGGAGGAAGGCAAGACCCAATTCTAGATCATTAGCTTGTTTTTTGAAAGTCAGAATCATTGAGCTATATGCAGTACAATTCACCAATTTTAAGTGTGTATCATTCACTGAGTTTTGACAAATGTATGCACTTGTAATTACCACCAGTCATAATACAGATCATTAGATTTTTAAAAAGAGAAGCTGGCAATCCAGATTTTATGTGACTTTTTTTTTATTAAAAAGTTGGCAACTTTTTAAAGGTCCTGAATGGGTCAAACAGTCTGATGGCAGGCTGGATGTAGCCTATGGGATACCACCTCTGAGCTTTAGGAAAACAGGATGTAAAAGTCTTAACTGGTGATTGTATGTCCCCAAGGCTACTGCATCCTTCCCCTGAAGCAACAAGCACAGGTCCGTGGACCTGCCCGAGGGAGAGAAAAGCAAGCAGGAAGCTCGGTAACAACACAGGTTCTTACCTTAAAAGGTTCTCAAGGCCACAGCTGTAATGCCGACCCTCCCCTCTCCTTATCCGTTCAGGCCAAGGCAAATCTGGACAAGAACAAGCAGACGCTGGAGAAGGAGAACGCAGACCTGGCTGGCGAGCTGCGGGTCCTGAGCCAGGCAAAGCAAGAGGTGGAGCACAAGAAGAAGAAGCTGGAGGTGCAGCTGCAGGAGCTGCAGTCCAAGTGCAGCGATGGGGAGCGGGCCCGGGCTGAGCTCAACGACAAGGTCCACAAGCTGCAGGTGAGGCTGTGGAACACGGCCCCGGACACCCCCTGCGGGGGATGCTCTTCCAGCTAAGTGGAGGCCCTCTGGCTGCCAGCAAGTCAGTTTCTTCTTGTCACGTTCCCCGAGATGAGATGGTTGCCCTATTCAGTTTAATCTTCAAACACCTTCGTCTGCTCATTCAACAAGTATTTATTGAGTACCTGCTGTATGTCAGGCACTGTGTTTAATCCTGAGATATAACAGCCAGGGAGCACACACTGTCTCTGCCCCAGTGGAACTCCAGCTTAGTGGACAGAAAGACATTTAGAGCCACACAAATGAATGTAAAATGGTGCTGGAAATGGGGAGCATATAATGCAGCAAGTATAAATAACAAGGGAGTCTGCCCTGCAGGAGGAATAGGAAAGGCTTTCCCAAGGATGCATAATTTGACAGATAAGTGGAAGGCTACCAGACCAAGGGAAGAGCACATGCAAAGGCCTGGTAGTAAGTAGGAAATCAGAAGAGATTACGTAAGGCCAGTAGAGCAACAGTGCCAAGGTGGATGGGGAAAAGTGGCATAAAAAGGGACTAGAGAGGTAGGTTGTGGCCAGATGATAAAGGGCCTTCAAGGCCCTGTTATATGCATGTTGGCCTTTACGCTGAGTTATGGGAAGCCACTGATGGGTTTTAAGCTGCGGAATGAGATGGTCTGTTGTTTGGTCTTATTTAGCTTTAGCTAGACGTTTGGCCTTTCTATTCACGGGACGGCCAAAACTTTGATAAATATTTAATGTGCTGACAGCCTGGGACAGGGGGTTGGGGGAAGCATTAAGTATGATTTTTTCCACAGGCAGCTGAGAGCAGATTTTGCTACCCTAATATAAGCAATGGTCTGGAGTCAATATCATTTATATCATCATAAATGGGAAGAGGATGGATGGTGGGCTGATATATCCAAAAGGACCTGCTCAGAGATACCAGGGGCTGGAGTAAAAGGCAGAGAAAGTGGTCGAGGGCTTTTTACCCTCAGTGTCTGCTTCTCTGGATTTGGCCATAAAGAGTAGGGGCAAGGAGGGGTGCCATCCATATCCTCTTTTCCACCTTCAGGGAGTAGGCGAGTCCGGAGCATCTCTCAGGGTCTGGACTCCCATTCCTTCCAGCCTCAGCAAGGACTGAGGATCTAGAGGCCAATCAGCACAGGCTGGCGCTCTAACAGGTCCTTAGAACCAGGGATCCCAACTGGTAGGCAGTACTTCCCTTGGGAGCCACTGCACCATGAGCAGGCCCCACAGCTTGTGTGTATTTCTCATCAGTGGATATCTTGTGAGAAAAAAGGGCTCCTCTTACTTAGTGAGGATCCTGTTCTAGAGGTTCTGACTAACCACGGTCTTGGCACCGCCAGAATGAAGTGGACAGTGTCACAGGGATGCTCAACGAAGCAGAGGGGAAGGCCATCAAACTGGCCAAGGACGTAGCATCTCTCGGGTCCCAGCTCCAGGACACCCAGGTGGGTATCCTGCCATGTCATCCGCAGGGACCTGGGGTACGACCTTGGGGGCGGGTCCCTGGGACTCCCACGTATCCTTTTTGTAGGAGCTGCTTCAAGAAGAAACCCGGCAGAAGCTCAATGTGTCCACCAAGCTGCGCCAGCTGGAGGATGAGAGGAATAGCCTGCAGGACCAGCTGGATGAGGAGATGGAGGCCAAGCAGAACCTGGAGCGCCACATCTCAACTCTGAACATCCAGGTGCCCGCTGCACGTGTCCTTGCTTTTCCAGTGGATCTGGGCTCTGGTGTCGTGTTGTGGTAGGGCCCTGGCACAACTTTACTTGGTTCATTGGCAACCCCTGCCCCTGAATTTCTTCAAGGAGAAGGTGGTTGCTTCTTGGCATGGGGGGGAAGGGAGGGGCACCACTCCCCACCCTCCTCTCATCCTGCCCCGGACTCTGCTGTTTCAGCTCTCTGATTCAAAGAAGAAGCTGCAGGACTTTGCCAGCACCGTGGAATCCCTAGAAGAGGGCAAGAAGAGGTTCCAGAAGGAAATCGAAGGCCTCACCCAGCAGTACGAAGAGAAGGCAGCTGCTTATGACAAACTGGAAAAGACCAAGAACAGGCTTCAGCAGGAGCTGGACGACCTGGTCGTTGATTTGGACAACCAGCGGCAACTGGTGTCCAACCTGGAAAAGAAGCAGAGGAAGTTTGATCAGGTAGGTGCTGGAGGGCTCTCCGCTCTGTGCACAGACACTGGCTGGGAGTTGGGGCTGCTGTGTCGGCTTGCTCTAGGTGACCCTGACACATTAGGGCACCACACATTAGGGACCCTGACACATTAGACACACCAGCATCACGAGATCATGCAAACCCAGTGATGCTTTTCATTTCTAACCATGAGAAGGAATGAGATTTATCTTATTCACATAACAAGGAGTTATTGAGTGCCTACTGAATATTCCAAATAATTGAATGTTTCAATGTTTCAGTACCACATTTCATTATGAAGAATTTCAAGCATACAGCAAAGTTGAAAGCACTGTACAGTCAACACCTGAATTCCCACCACCTAGATTTGGTAATTAACATTTTATCATACCCACTTTATCACATATTTATTTATCAGGATGAACTGTCTGATTCATATCATGTGGATACACTTCAAAGTGCATTACAGACATCTGTACACTTCCCTCTCAATACCTCAGCATTGCATAGTAGAGTTCCTTTTTTATATGTAATTTTGAAGTAAAATTTACATACAAAGAAATGTACAAATCTTAGGTGTCTGTATTTATCAGAACTCAGTAAGTGTATACTTGTGGAACCCAAACCCTTAAACACCAGCCTTAGTGTTACTCAGATTTAGTAAATACAGTTTTCTTTGCAAGTGACTCAGAGGTATTCTAAAAATCCATTTAGGGATTGTACCATGAGGCCAAATACCAGAGGCAGGGGGCTCATTGCCTCTCCCCGACACAGAGCACCAGGCTTCTGAACGATGTGCTGACCTCCTTTTTCTATTTCCCATGCTGTTATCTTATCTTCATTGCTTCTAATCTGCTATTTCATTAACTGTTTGTGAGCCTGAGTTCACTTTAATTTATTTATTTGTCACATAGAGTGTAAGGTTTTTGCGTTGACTGCTGTATGGGGGCGCAGTTATTTAACTGTCTTTGCTGAATTCTGGAAGTGTGGTTTTCAGGTGTTAAAATATAGAATATGCTGTCCTATCTCTGAAGCTGAGGTGAACATCAGCATGGAGCATCCTTGGAGCTGCTTCTCCAAGTGGGGGGGGAGTGTGGCCTGCTCGTCCACACTCTCACCATTTCCCTGCTGTGGCTCATGGGCGCTTCTGAGAGCTAGCTGCCTGTGCCCATGGAACAACAGAGGGATAACTGGCCTCTGGCAGGATTAAGTGTCACTCTGACCTTAGTAGCAGTTGTGTTCTAACCAACATGGGCAGCATTAGTGGTTTCAAAGCACAAAGATTCAGCAGATGCTGGCTCTGCATAAGGCTAACCTGGAAGTCAGAAAGCAAGCTTATTATAAATGATCTCCATACATATCTAAATAACTTATACCTGCACCTGGATAGATTTAGCAGGACACAAGCCTTCTTTCCCATATTTGCAATGAAATGAAGCCAAAGTTCAGGTGTGCTGAGAGGTCACCTCTGGTTTTCTGTTGTATTTTAGTTGTTAGCTGAGGAGAAAAACATCTCTTCCAAATATGCGGATGAAAGGGACCGAGCTGAGGCAGAAGCCAGGGAAAAGGAGACCAAGGCCTTGTCTCTGGCACGGGCCCTTGAAGAGGCCTTGGAAGCCAAAGAGGAGCTTGAAAGGACCAACAAGATGCTCAAAGCTGAGATGGAGGACCTGGTTAGCTCCAAGGACGACGTGGGCAAGAACGTAAGTCGCTCTGGATTGTCTTTCTTGTCCGTATTCCACCAACGCACCCTCTCTGCTACGCACCCAGTCCACGGGGGGCTGGCTCTGTGCCTCTGTCATGTTAGACAACAATCAGGAATTGAAAGCAGTCCCTTGGGCTGGTGCAAAAAGGGGGCCTGGCTGGGAAAGCAGTTGGGGGGCGAGGTCTGAGTCAAGGGTCCTGAGAGGAAGGCTCCTCAGGCATTCTGTGGGTGGCATAAGGCATCTCTCTGATTATGCTGCCCATCACTGTGGGCTGCCTGGCCATCTTTATGAAGTCAACCTTCATGTGAAAGGTCCATGAGCTGGAGAAGTCCAAGCGGGCCCTGGAAACCCAGATGGAGGAAATGAAGACCCAGCTGGAGGAGCTGGAAGATGAGCTGCAGGCGACAGAAGATGCCAAGCTGCGGCTGGAGGTCAACATGCAGGCCCTCAAGGGCCAGTTTGAGCGAGACCTGCAGGCCCGGGACGAGCAGAATGAGGAGAAGCGCAGGCAGCTCCAGAGGCAGGTAACCTGGGTTGGGCGAAGGAGAGGAAGGGGGGACGGGGAAGCAGGTGGCCTGTTGCCCTCCTCCTACCACCACTGCCTGGCCTCCTGGAGACTATTCTCTCACCTGCAATCTGAGGGTGAGAAAACCCCCCTTGCCAGGGGTGGTGCGCAGCCAGGAGCTGGGTGGATGCCTCTGGGGGCGGCCCGGCCCAGCAGCACACGTGTCTTCCTCGGGTAGCTCCACGAGTATGAGACGGAACTGGAAGATGAGCGAAAGCAACGTGCCCTGGCAGCCGCGGCCAAGAAGAAGCTGGAAGGGGACCTGAAAGACCTGGAGCTGCAGGCTGATTCAGCCATCAAGGGGAGGGAGGAGGCCATCAAGCAGCTGCGGAAACTGCAGGTGGGTAACGCCCTGATGGCAGGGCTGGGGCGGGGCAGGCAACAGCTCACCCCAGGCTGGGGACGTCGAGTCAGCAGCCACGGAGGACACAGGCCTCTCACTGTCGATGGTGTCTTCCATCACCATTTAGCTTTAGGGGCTGTTCCTGCCCCAGGAAGAGCACCGTTATCAGGCACTTGGTCACGGCCCCCAGATCACGTCACCGTTTCCTCGGCAGGGTGGCGCCCCCGCAGCCGCCCGAGGCTGAGCAGTGCCCACGCAGCAGGGCCTTCCCTGCAGTTAGTCGAGGAAAATCATCCCAGGGGTTGGCATAGACGGAACCTGGGTGAGTAAGGACAGCTTGGCTGGTCCTCCTGGTTGACTCATGCAGGCTCAGATGAAGGACTTCCAGAGAGAGCTGGAAGACGCCCGGGCCTCCAGGGACGAGATCTTTGCCACAGCCAAAGAGAATGAGAAGAAAGCCAAGAGCTTAGAGGCAGACCTCATGCAGCTTCAGGAGGTAAAGCTTTCCTCTCGCTCTGAGCGCCTCAGATGAGGATGTCATGGCAGCAACACGTGGCTCCCCTGGTCTGTGCATCCGCAGATTGCTTCCCCTCGTCCAGCATTCCCCACAGGTGGACCCCAATACTCAGGGCAGGGGAAGACACAGAGGGGCCTCCCGAGCCCAGAGGAGGTGCAGCCACTTCCAAGGGTGGCCGTAGGGACTGCTGGGGGCCTGGTGGCAGGAGCAGGGTGGATTCTCAGGTGGGGTCCCTGGCAGGCAACAGGTTTCCTCCCTCCTTAACCCCACCACCCAGGATCTAGCCGCAGCCGAGAGGGCTCGCAAACAGGCAGACCTAGAGAAGGAGGAACTGGCTGAGGAGCTGGCCAGCAGCGTGTCGGGAAGGTATGGAGCTGAACGGGGAGAAAGGGGTGGGGGGTCCAAGCCTCAGATGATGAGGGACAGGCAGCTCATAGGAGAGCCTCCTGGGCACCCATTTTAATGCTGAAAGTGGCCGAATGTTCAACTGACCTTGTGACAGGGTCATAGGTCTTCACACCCTATTTGGGGGTATAGCCAGTTTCATTTATTCTGAATGAACAGCATGGTGGGGCCGGGTAGGGAGGTGGGGGATGGGCATCTGGGGACGTCTGGGAGGAGAGGCTGGTCTCATCCCAAGCCTGGCTTTGCTGACACCAACTGGGTATGAGTCCTGGCTCCCCACTTCCCAGCTGTGTGATTTTAGAGAAGTCTCTATAACTGAGGAACTGAGGCTCAAAGAAACTTAAATAAGGGCAACCCTGAGCCACTGCTCCTTCACGGAGGGGTTTTCTAAGTCGGGGGAGGCTGAAGCCCCAGATGCGGCTGCCTTTCCTTTAGAAATACTCTTCAGGATGAGAAGCGCCGCCTCGAGGCCCGGATCACACAGCTGGAGGAGGAGCTGGAAGAGGAGCAGGGCAACATGGAGGCCATGAGTGACCGTGTCCGGAAGGCCACGCAGCAGGTAGGGGCTGGGGCCGTGGGCCCGGCACCAGAGCAGCATGTGGCTCATGGATGTGTAGCATGGGCTCCTATGTGCAGGCCCTGGCAGAGGGGAGTGGGGAGATGAGAGAGTGGGGGCCCAGCATGTTCATCCGTGTACCCCCCTCTCCCAGGCATGCCAGCACCCTGCCCGCTGGCTTCAGAGCACTTAGCAGCAACCTGTAGCGTCTCACTGGGTAGCCAGTGCATGTCTGGTTCCCTCCAGCAGACAAGGCACGCCTGGAGTAAGGGCCTTGGCACCTCCCTCGTGCTCTTTCCCGGCCCCAATGCCTGGTCTTACAATAGTGAGCACTTGGTGACATTACTGAGCAAAAGCTCCGTGACGGGTGTTGGGATCCCTTCATGTGACCTAGAGCCAGGGACAGGGAGCCTGGGACGCAGCCTGGAAGAGCTGCCTCGAGCTGAGCTGTAAAGGAGCTTGTGGCTAGAGGAGGGGAGGAGGGACCCTGGGTGCTCCAGCTCCAAGGATGCGTTCTGAGGCTGGAGGCAGTGGGAGGAGTTTGTCCTCTCAGTGCCCCACCTCGAACTTCTGCACCCTCCACCTCACGACCTCACGCTCTTCCCCAGGCTGAGCAGCTCAACAATGAGCTGGCTACAGAGCGCAGCGCGGCCCAGAAGAACGAGAGTGCCCGGCAGCAGCTCGAGCGGCAGAACAAGGAGCTCCGGAGCAAGCTGCAGGAGATGGAGGGTGCAGTCAAGTCCAAGTTCAAGTCCACTATTACGGCACTGGAGGCCAAGATTGCACAGCTGGAGGAACAGGTTGAACAGGAGGCCAGGTACAGTGGCACAGGGCTCCAGTGAAATCCTGTTCTAGAGGTTCTGACTAACCACGGTCTTGGCACCGCCAGAATGAAGTGGACAGTGTCACAGGGATGCTCAACGAAGCAGAGGGGAAGGCCATCAAACTGGCCAAGGACGTAGCATCTCTCGGGTCCCAGCTCCAGGACACCCAGGTGGGTATCCTGCCATGTCATCCGCAGGGACCTGGGGTACGACCTTGGGGGCGGGTCCCTGGGACTCCCACATATCCTTTTTGTAGGAGCTGCTTCAAGAAGAAACCCGGCAGAAGCTCAATGTGTCCACCAAGCTGCGCCAGCTGGAGGATGAGAGGAATAGCCTGCAGGACCAGCTGGATGAGGAGATGGAGGCCAAGCAGAACCTGGAGCGCCACATCTCAACTCTGAACATCCAGGTGCCCGCTGCACGTGTCCTTGCTTTTCCAGTGGATCTGGGCTCTGGTGTCGTGTTGTGGTAGGGCCCTGGCACAACTTTACTTGGCTCACTGGCAACCCCTGCCCCTGAATTTCTTCAAGGAGAAGGTGGTTGCTTCTTGGCATGGGGGGGAAGGGAGGGGCACCACTCCCCACCCTCCTCTCATCCTGCCCCGGACTCTGCTGTTTCAGCTCTCTGATTCAAAGAAGAAGCTGCAGGACTTTGCCAGCACCGTGGAATCCCTAGAAGAGGGCAAGAAGAGGTTCCAGAAGGAAATCGAAGGCCTCACCCAGCAGTACGAAGAGAAGGCAGCTGCTTATGACAAACTGGAAAAGACCAAGAACAGGCTTCAGCAGGAGCTGGACGACCTGGTCGTTGATTTGGACAACCAGCGGCAACTGGTGTCCAACCTGGAAAAGAAGCAGAGGAAGTTTGATCAGGTAGGTGCTGGAGGGCTCTCCGCTCTGTGCACAGACACTGGCTGGGAGTTGGGGCTGCTGTGTCGGCTTGCTCTAGGTGACCCTGACACATTAGGGCACCACACATTAGGGACCCTGACACATTAGACACACCAGCATCACGAGATCATGCAAACCCAGTGATGCTTTTCATTTCTAACCATGAGAAGGAATGAGATTTATCTTATTCACATAACAAGGAGTTATTGAGTGCCTACTGAATATTCCAAATAATTGAATGTTTCAATGTTTCAGTACCACATTTCATTATGAAGAATTTCAAGCATACAGCAAAGTTGAAAGCACTGTACAGTCAACACCTGAATTCCCACCACCTAGATTTGGTAATTAACATTTTATCATACCCACTTTATCACATATTTATTTATCAGGATGAACTGTCTGATTCATATCATGTGGATACACTTCAAAGTGCATTACAGACATCTGTACACTTCCCTCTCAATACCTCAGCATTGCATAGTAGAGTTCCTTTTTTATATGTAATTTTGAAGTAAAATTTACATACAAAGAAATGTACAAATCTTAGGTGTCTGTATTTATCAGAACTCAGTAAGTGTATACTTGTGGAACCCAAACCCTTAAACACCAGCCTTAGTGTTACTCAGATTTAGTAAATACAGTTTTCTTTGCAAGTGACTCAGAGGTATTCTAAAAATCCATTTAGGGATTGTACCATGAGGCCAAATACCAGAGGCAGGGGGCTCATTGCCTCTCCCCGACACAGAGCACCAGGCTTCTGAACGATGTGCTGACCTCCTTTTTCTATTTCCCATGCTGTTATCTTATCTTCATTGCTTCTAATCTGCTATTTCATTAACTGTTTGTGAGCCTGAGTTCACTTTAATTTATTTATTTGTCACATAGAGTGTAAGGTTTTTGCGTTGACTGCTGTATGGGGGCGCAGTTATTTAACTGTCTTTGCTGAATTCTGGAAGTGTGGTTTTCAGGTGTTAAAATATAGAATATGCTGTCCTATCTCTGAAGCTGAGGTGAACATCAGCATGGAGCATCCTTGGAGCTGCTTCTCCAAGTGGGGGGGGAGTGTGGCCTGCTCGTCCACACTCTCACCATTTCCCTGCTGTGGCTCATGGGCGCTTCTGAGAGCTAGCTGCCTGTGCCCATGGAACAACAGAGGGATAACTGGCCTCTGGCAGGATTAAGTGTCACTCTGACCTTAGTAGCAGTTGTGTTCTAACCAACATGGGCAGCATTAGTGGTTTCAAAGCACAAAGATTCAGCAGATGCTGGCTCTGCATAAGGCTAACCTGGAAGTCAGAAAGCAAGCTTATTATAAATGATCTCCATACATATCTAAATAACTTATACCTGCACCTGGATAGATTTAGCAGGACACAAGCCTTCTTTCCCATATTTGCAATGAAATGAAGCCAAAGTTCAGGTGTGCTGAGAGGTCACCTCTGGTTTTCTGTTGTATTTTAGTTGTTAGCTGAGGAGAAAAACATCTCTTCCAAATATGCGGATGAAAGGGACCGAGCTGAGGCAGAAGCCAGGGAAAAGGAGACCAAGGCCTTGTCTCTGGCACGGGCCCTTGAAGAGGCCTTGGAAGCCAAAGAGGAGCTTGAAAGGACCAACAAGATGCTCAAAGCTGAGATGGAGGACCTGGTTAGCTCCAAGGACGACGTGGGCAAGAACGTAAGTCGCTCTGGATTGTCTTTCTTGTCCGTATTCCACCAACGCACCCTCTCTGCTACGCACCCAGTCCACGGGGGGCTGGCTCTGTGCCTCTGTCATGTTAGACAACAATCAGGAATTGAAAGCAGTCCCTTGGGCTGGTGCAAAAAGGGGGCCTGGCTGGGAAAGCAGTTGGGGGGCGAGGTCTGAGTCAAGGGTCCTGAGAGGAAGGCTCCTCAGGCATTCTGTGGGTGGCATAAGGCATCTCTCTGATTATGCTGCCCATCACTGTGGGCTGCCTGGCCATCTTTATGAAGTCAACCTTCATGTGAAAGGTCCATGAGCTGGAGAAGTCCAAGCGGGCCCTGGAAACCCAGATGGAGGAAATGAAGACCCAGCTGGAGGAGCTGGAAGATGAGCTGCAGGCGACAGAAGATGCCAAGCTGCGGCTGGAGGTCAACATGCAGGCCCTCAAGGGCCAGTTTGAGCGAGACCTGCAGGCCCGGGACGAGCAGAATGAGGAGAAGCGCAGGCAGCTCCAGAGGCAGGTAACCTGGGTTGGGCGAAGGAGAGGAAGGGGGGACGGGGAAGCAGGTGGCCTGTTGCCCTCCTCCTACCACCACTGCCTGGCCTCCTGGAGACTATTCTCTCACCTGCAATCTGAGGGTGAGAAAACCCCCCTTGCCAGGGGTGGTGCGCAGCCAGGAGCTGGGTGGATGCCTCTGGGGGCGGCCCGGCCCAGCAGCACACGTGTCTTCCTCGGGTAGCTCCACGAGTATGAGACGGAACTGGAAGATGAGCGAAAGCAACGTGCCCTGGCAGCCGCGGCCAAGAAGAAGCTGGAAGGGGACCTGAAAGACCTGGAGCTGCAGGCTGATTCAGCCATCAAGGGGAGGGAGGAGGCCATCAAGCAGCTGCGGAAACTGCAGGTGGGTAACGCCCTGATGGCAGGGCTGGGGCGGGGCAGGCAACAGCTCACCCCAGGCTGGGGACGTCGAGTCAGCAGCCACGGAGGACACAGGCCTCTCACTGTCGATGGTGTCTTCCATCACCATTTAGCTTTAGGGGCTGTTCCTGCCCCAGGAAGAGCACCGTTATCAGGCACTTGGTCACGGCCCCCAGATCACGTCACCGTTTCCTCGGCAGGGTGGCGCCCCCGCAGCCGCCCGAGGCTGAGCAGTGCCCACGCAGCAGGGCCTTCCCTGCAGTTAGTCGAGGAAAATCATCCCAGGGGTTGGCATAGACGGAACCTGGGTGAGTAAGGACAGCTTGGCTGGTCCTCCTGGTTGACTCATGCAGGCTCAGATGAAGGACTTCCAGAGAGAGCTGGAAGACGCCCGGGCCTCCAGGGACGAGATCTTTGCCACAGCCAAAGAGAATGAGAAGAAAGCCAAGAGCTTAGAGGCAGACCTCATGCAGCTTCAGGAGGTAAAGCTTTCCTCTCGCTCTGAGCGCCTCAGATGAGGATGTCATGGCAGCAACACGTGGCTCCCCTGGTCTGTGCATCCGCAGATTGCTTCCCCTCGTCCAGCATTCCCCACAGGTGGACCCCAATACTCAGGGCAGGGGAAGACACAGAGGGGCCTCCCGAGCCCAGAGGAGGTGCAGCCACTTCCAAGGGTGGCCGTAGGGACTGCTGGGGGCCTGGTGGCAGGAGCAGGGTGGATTCTCAGGTGGGGTCCCTGGCAGGCAACAGGTTTCCTCCCTCCTTAACCCCACCACCCAGGATCTAGCCGCAGCCGAGAGGGCTCGCAAACAGGCAGACCTAGAGAAGGAGGAACTGGCTGAGGAGCTGGCCAGCAGCGTGTCGGGAAGGTATGGAGCTGAACGGGGAGAAAGGGGTGGGGGGTCCAAGCCTCAGATGATGAGGGACAGGCAGCTCATAGGAGAGCCTCCTGGGCACCCATTTTAATGCTGAAAGTGGCCGAATGTTCAACTGACCTTGTGACAGGGTCATAGGTCTTCACACCCTATTTGGGGGTATAGCCAGTTTCATTTATTCTGAATGAACAGCATGGTGGGGCCGGGTAGGGAGGTGGGGGATGGGCATCTGGGGACGTCTGGGAGGAGAGGCTGGTCTCATCCCAAGCCTGGCTTTGCTGACACCAACTGGGTATGAGTCCTGGCTCCCCACTTCCCAGCTGTGTGATTTTAGAGAAGTCTCTATAACTGAGGAACTGAGGCTCAAAGAAACTTAAATAAGGGCAACCCTGAGCCACTGCTCCTTCACGGAGGGGTTTTCTAAGTCGGGGGAGGCTGAAGCCCCAGATGCGGCTGCCTTTCCTTTAGAAATACTCTTCAGGATGAGAAGCGCCGCCTCGAGGCCCGGATCACACAGCTGGAGGAGGAGCTGGAAGAGGAGCAGGGCAACATGGAGGCCATGAGTGACCGTGTCCGGAAGGCCACGCAGCAGGTAGGGGCTGGGGCCGTGGGCCCGGCACCAGAGCAGCATGTGGCTCATGGATGTGTAGCATGGGCTCCTATGTGCAGGCCCTGGCAGAGGGGAGTGGGGAGATGAGAGAGTGGGGGCCCAGCATGTTCATCCGTGTACCCCCCTCTCCCAGGCATGCCAGCACCCTGCCCGCTGGCTTCAGAGCACTTAGCAGCAACCTGTAGCGTCTCACTGGGTAGCCAGTGCATGTCTGGTTCCCTCCAGCAGACAAGGCACGCCTGGAGTAAGGGCCTTGGCACCTCCCTCGTGCTCTTTCCCGGCCCCAATGCCTGGTCTTACAATAGTGAGCACTTGGTGACATTACTGAGCAAAAGCTCCGTGACGGGTGTTGGGATCCCTTCATGTGACCTAGAGCCAGGGACAGGGAGCCTGGGACGCAGCCTGGAAGAGCTGCCTCGAGCTGAGCTGTAAAGGAGCTTGTGGCTAGAGGAGGGGAGGAGGGACCCTGGGTGCTCCAGCTCCAAGGATGCGTTCTGAGGCTGGAGGCAGTGGGAGGAGTTTGTCCTCTCAGTGCCCCACCTCGAACTTCTGCACCCTCCACCTCACGACCTCACGCTCTTCCCCAGGCTGAGCAGCTCAACAATGAGCTGGCTACAGAGCGCAGCGCGGCCCAGAAGAACGAGAGTGCCCGGCAGCAGCTCGAGCGGCAGAACAAGGAGCTCCGGAGCAAGCTGCAGGAGATGGAGGGTGCAGTCAAGTCCAAGTTCAAGTCCACTATTACGGCACTGGAGGCCAAGATTGCACAGCTGGAGGAACAGGTTGAACAGGAGGCCAGGTACAGTGGCACAGGGCTCCAGTGACAGCCTGCTTGCCAGTGAGTGGCAGGGGATGGCAGGGGTCAGTCAGCCTGTCTGGGCATCAGTCTGGCTGTGGAATGAGCTCAGTGGAGCCCACACTGCAGCCGTGCTGGGAGAGCTGAGTGAGTACAGAGGGAAGTGCTGTGCCCGGCCCAGAATTGGCCCGTTAGCTGTCAGCCTGCTATTAGGAAGAAGCATGACTCAGGGATGTCAGCCAGCCTTCCAGGGGCACACGTGGCTTTTCCTCACCTGCATTTACAGGATATCAGATTAACAGACGTACACAAAGTCCAAATCAACAACCCTCTCAGCACACACTTCCAAATATGGGAAGGCTTCTCATTTTAACGGTGGGTCAACTGAGCTGAACGTGAACAGCACAGGGCAGGGATTCAGAACCCACTGTTGTGGTAGTGGCCTCTACTGGGAACTCCCAGACTGGGCTCTTCACCCATGTAAAGTACATACACCCTCTCCCCAGTCGACCACAGGCCATTCTCATCACCTCAGGAAGAAACCCCATACCCCTCAGCCACTGATCTGCTTTGTCTCTATCACCCATCTGGACATGGAGTCACACAGCGTGTGGTCCTCGGGGTCTTGCTTCTCTCCCTGAACATAACGGCTCCATGGCCCCCCAGCAGGGAGCACGTGTCCGCACTTCATTCCGGGAACTCTGTGGCCAGGCGCTGTACTGACCGATTCTCGGGGTGCACCCGACCTGGGGCTCATGGCGCGGTGCCCCTGTTCACACGCCCGCTGCCAGGGCAGCCACCCCACACCCCTCCCCCCTGTGCGCAGAGAGAAGCAGGCGACTTCCAAGTCGCTGAAGCAGAAGGACAAGAAGCTGAAGGAGGCCCTGCTGCAGGTGGAGGACGAGCGCAAGGCGGCGGAGCAGTACAAGGAGCAGGTAACGGGGCCGCCCGGGCCCCCCAGCGCCCAGGCCCCCTGCGCTCCCCTGACCGCCGGGCCTCTCCCTGACAGGCAGAGAAAGGAAACACAAGGGTCAAGCAACTCAAGAGGCAGCTGGAGGAGGCGGAGGAGGAGTCCCAGCGCGTCAACGCCAACCGCAGGAAGCTGCAGCGGGAGCTGGACGAGGCCACGGAGAGCAACGAGGCCATGGGCCGGGAGGTGAACGCGCTCAGGAGCAAGCTCAGGTCAGGTGGCGCCCCCGCGCGGGGCTCGGCCGGCGGGCTGTTTTCCAAGGTCTCCTCCTGCTGTTCGCGCGGCCCCAGCGTTAGGGCCTAGATCCCACCTGCCCCGAGGAACCCACCCGCTGTTCTCTGTGACGGCCGCTTCCCACCACATCCTCCTAGCGAGAGAGAGGAGGCAGTACCAGTCTGCTGAAACCTCGGCTCCTTCACCCCTCCTCTGGACCTTGGGACTGGATAACAGGGTCTCACGGCTGCCTGTGTGCCTCAGGATGTGGAGCAGCATCCTTGACATCTACCCACTCTGTGCAGTGCCTTCCCACCTCGTTGTGACGGCCAAAACCGTCCCCAAATGGGCCCTGGGAGGACGGGGGTGGGCGGCTGCTTTCTCCCGCGCCCGCCCCTCTGGGCCCGCTCCCCAGGGCTCCTCCAGCTGGAGGGGTGGGAGCTAGCGTGGCGGAGGGCCTGTCGACTCCTTCCCCAGCTGCAAGCCCACGCTGGGGATGAGGATCCACGCATCCACGACACTACTTGTTTGGCTGTAACACAACCCAGGTTAATCCCACCTTCCCACCTTCCCGCCTTCCGCAGCCCACAGTGGTATGAGGAAAACCACCAACCTCGTGGCCACTTCTCAGATTCTCCATTGCCAACCCTAAGCGGACCTCAGAGCCCTGTCATCCCTCCACTGTCCTGCCTCTCACAGACCTGCTCTTTACCTTCTCCCTAGACTCACCATCCCCCCGCCCACCCCCTTCCTCTCTCTCAGCCGGTAACCTGACTCCCTTAAAGGAAAAGCTGGACATTACCCTGAAGCATAAACAACCTCCCACTGCCCCATCGACCCGCCTGCCCACGTCTCTGCTCATTTCTTTTCCCCCCATTTCTGTGCAGACTGTCAGGTACCAAGACCAGCACGTCGTAGACCTACCTCTTGTTTACTCAGATGTTGCTCCAGAAATTCTTACCCTTCTCCTTCAGTGTTCTCCCTCTCCCTGAGTTATTCCATCAGCTGAAGAGATCTCTCAGCCCTACTCCCTGCTACCCTTTATCACAACACTCTCAAGCCAGCGGTCGTCTGCACCTAGCCCCAAGCAGCACATGCCACAGCCCCTCCCTCCTCGATGTACCTTCTTTCCTGGGCTTTCCACCTTCTGCCCGTACCTGGGTTCCATCCTCCTGTCTTTCCTTGTCTCCTCTGCTGGCATCTCATCCTGAAGCCCACTTGCCACCAGCCCGCTCCAGGCCCCATCTCGCTTCTCCACTTTCAGCTCTTCTCACTCCCCTGGTGACCTCAGTCAGCCTGGAGGCTTTCAGATTCCATCTGAAAAGCTAGTGGCTTCCCAGTTTCTATCTCCATCCTTCTTTCTAGGATGCCAGACCTGCTTGACATTCCCACTTGATGCCTATCAAGCAGGTCACACTTTGAGTCTTGATTGAACCCCTTCACCCCCAAACCAGCTCTCTCACAGTCTTCCCCAGGTCAGCAACTGGAATAAGGGTGCCATTAACCCAGGCCACAAACCTTGTGGTTTTATTTTTCCTCTTCTTTATATCCTATATCCAATCTGTCAGAAAATCTGTTCCACATGCCCTTAAAAATACTGTACACCCAGAATCCAAGCACTTCTTGCCATCTGGTCCAAGTCACTCTCTCCCACATGTAGATAATTTTCACAGCCCCCTTGTGGGTTTCACTGCTTCCAAGCTGGTCCCCTTATAATCTGTTCTCAGCACAGCAGCCTGAAGGATCCTATTTAAATGGAGGCAGATCACAGCCCTCCTTTGCTTGGAACCCACCAACAGCTTCCACGTCACTCAGAGCCAAAGCAATGTCTTTACTAAAGTTTGTTCCATCAGGCCCTCCTCTATCCACTGCCTCCTAGATTACCCCTCAGCCTCTTCACATGCTGCCTCAGGGCCTTTGCACTGGCTGTTCCCTCTGCCTGGAAGGCTCTCGTTCTCTTCCTTCAGGTGTTACTCATCCATGTTACCTTGTCTAGGTTTCTAACCTCATCCTCTATGGTTTGCTCTCTTACACACCTGTCACCATGTTATTTTATTTATTTTTCTCATTTGCAGTCTCTCTGGGCCTGCAGGCCTCATGAGCACAGAAGTTTTATCTGTTTACCCATCCCCAGTGTCTGGGACAGTGCAGGGCACTATAAGCAAGCTTTCACTGAGTCAGAGGCGATGTTTCTCCAGCCTCACTCTACCTTCGCCATTTTGCCTGAGCCTCTTATGACTCAGTGTTGACCTGATATTTTCTTTGAAGTTATCTGTTCTAATTGTATACACCTCTATTTGCAAATCAAATGTACCACCCCTATATTAAACCAACATCACCTGCATCAGCAGATCACAATGAATGTGAATACAGTGAAAACAAAACAATAGTTAGTTCTGGCTTCTGTGGCTACAAACTGATGACTATACCCTGAATCCTCCTGCTCAGTTAAAAACGGGAGTGACACAAGACATTAGCACCAAATACTCTCTCAGACATAATCAGATGTATTTTCAAAAGACTTGAAATAAGAATACCTTTCTCACTGTGCAACTCAGCTATCCAGCGTGCCCAGGAACTATCTGCAGTCACCGGGCCTATGGATTCCAAACTTTTGAGAACCACTGCATGAGACAAGGGGGAAACCCAAACCACTTGCAGAAGGCTCAGGGTACAAGGTGGGGGGCTGTGGGCCCCCACTGAGGGACTGGTGACCCTCTCGGGTCCAACAGGGGCTTGGGAGCAACCCCCAGGGTGACCGTCAGTGGAGGAGAGCTGTTTGTACCACAGAGACCCCCCAGGATTCGCTCTGCTGGTGACTGGACACCCCCTCTGCAGAGGCTGGGCTGAGCGGTGGGCAAGCAGCCCCACTCCAGCTGGCACTCCTTTGCCGTACTGCTCCCTTTTCTTGGGACCAATAATTCTTCTAGCATATGCTGAACATCCTGGACAGCTTACTTATCTAGGGCATACAGACGAACACCAAACCATTTGTTACAGTCCTACTATGAGCACACATACCATAGGTTGAAAACAGGCCAGACCTCTTCTGCTTGAACATTCTACATGTACAAAAACCTAAAATCAAGCATTAAGCTTCACATGAGGTAGGCAGGCTCCTCATGAGCCAGCTCCTCAGTGAACAAGGAATTGTAAAGCAAGGTTCATAGTTTTACCAATCATCCAAGTCTCGACACAAGCCCTCTTTAAAGCCGGACCAATGCACCCATCAGCTACCACAGTGCCAGCCATTTCCAGCATGAGCTGTGTCCACTTCTGCCTTCCTGCCACGGTAGAAAAGGCAATGAAGACAAATGATAATACAGTGAGATGCTCCTGCGGGCTCCTCGCCTGGGTCTTTTCATGTTCTGTTCCCACATGGGTCTTTTGGACTAGCTCACTCAAGTGCCTTTATCTTCCTGAACAGGTATGCCTAAGGGGAGGAAGCCACCTGCATTCTTAAAAGCAGCTCTGAAATACAGAAATTTGCCGTTTAATTGAAAAAAACGGCTTGTCCTTTTGTGTGCCCGCTTAGGAGCTCTTGGCTCAGGTGCTCCACTGAAAGGTTGACTTAGAAGTGCCTTTAAGTATTTAATTGAAGCAAATGCCTTTAATGATTAAAAGTGCACTAGAGCGGGCTCCCTCCCGTTCACTGATGGTAACCACTAGGGACTCTCTCTCTTTGCAGAGGCCCCCTCCCCCAGGACACTCCGCAATGACTCACCAGGTATCATACCTTCAGCTTTGCAGCTCATATGTGTTGCACTTGGTTTCTGCTTCCTTTCTGCCCATCGCGCCCTCCCTGCCCCTTGGTCCCCCTCTTTTTTGACCCTTGCAAATTTCCGTGAGATTCCTGCAGAATCTTAAGGCTTGGGTATATTAGTTCAAAACCGTCTTTCATCCAAACCAAGATCAACCCAAGACAATCTCATCTCTTGACCATTTTCCTTCCCTTCTTCTGCTTTGGCACATGACATGGCACCAAACATGTCCTTGCCACCGTGTGTCGGAGTTTAGAGGCTGTGTGTATGTTGCTTGGACTGTACTGACCTGCGTAAGGGGGCCTCTCCTGCACTGTTAGGACGCTCGGCTGTGCTGTCCTCCCTCTTCCATTAAGACACCACACCAGGTGGTAAGACAGCTCCACATTCTGGGCGCATTCCTGGAGAATGGCTTCCATCTGGCTAGTCTGGTTCACACATCAGAATTAACAAAGCACAGGTTCATCGTAACTGCAGCCCAACAACTTGTCCCCCATGGTTGGACTTTCACAAACATGTCTATGAAGGACATGAGCTCTCACTGCGATGGCTTATGGCTGCTGGGGCTGCGTGAGGCCTAAGCAAGGCCTAGCTAACTGCATTTTCAGTGCATGCAGGCTACTGCAGAGCCGAACACCCTCCAGGCCGAGCCTTTTCCAGAGGTCTCACGGGCATGAATCACAGACGGGGGAATGGACACCCAAGGCTCGAGGAAGCACCCAGGCCCTTTACGAGACAGAGGCCTCAACTTCTCTGAAATTCTAACAACTGGTTTACACATTAAGTTAGGCAGCTAGAGCCTGAATATCTGCAGTCACCGGGCCTATGGATTCCAAACTTTTGAGAACCACTGCATGAGACAAGGGGGAAACCCAAACCACTTGCAGAAGGCTCAGGGTACAAGGTGGGGGGCTGTGGGCCCCCACTGAGGGACTGGTGACCCTCTCGGGTCCAACAGGGGCTTGGGAGCAACCCCCAGGGTGACCGTCAGTGGAGGAGAGCTGTTTGTACCACAGAGACCCCCCAGGATTCGCTCTGCTGGTGACTGGACACCCCCTCTGCAGAGGCTGGGCTGAGCGGTGGGCAAGCAGCCCCACTCCAGCTGGCACTCCTTTGCCGTACTGCTCCCTTTTCTTGGGACCAATAATTCTTCTAGCATATGCTGAACATCCTGGACAGCTTACTTATCTAGGGCATACAGACGAACACCAAACCATTTGTTACAGTCCTACTATGAGCACACATACCATAGGTTGAAAACAGGCCAGACCTCTTCTGCTTGAACATTCTACATGTACAAAAACCTAAAATCAAGCATTAAGCTTCACATGAGGTAGGCAGGCTCCTCATGAGCCAGCTCCTCAGTGAACAAGGAATTGTAAAGCAAGGTTCATAGTTTTACCAATCATCCAAGTCTCGACACAAGCCCTCTTTAAAGCCGGACCAATGCACCCATCAGCTACCACAGTGCCAGCCATTTCCAGCATGAGCTGTGTCCACTTCTGCCTTCCTGCCACGGTAGAAAAGGCAATGAAGACAAATGATAATACAGTGAGATGCTCCTGCGGGCTCCTCGCCTGGGTCTTTTCATGTTCTGTTCCCACATGGGTCTTTTGGACTAGCTCACTCAAGTGCCTTTATCTTCCTGAACAGGTATGCCTAAGGGGAGGAAGCCACCTGCATTCTTAAAAGCAGCTCTGAAATACAGAAATTTGCCGTTTAATTGAAAAAAACGGCTTGTCCTTTTGTGTGCCCGCTTAGGAGCTCTTGGCTCAGGTGCTCCACTGAAAGGTTGACTTAGAAGTGCCTTTAAGTATTTAATTGAAGCAAATGCCTTTAATGATTAAAAGTGCACTAGAGCGGGCTCCCTCCCGTTCACTGATGGTAACCACTAGGGACTCTCTCTCTTTGCAGAGGCCCCCTCCCCCAGGACACTCCGCAATGACTCACCAGGTATCATACCTTCAGCTTTGCAGCTCATATGTGTTGCACTTGGTTTCTGCTTCCTTTCTGCCCATCGCGCCCTCCCTGCCCCTTGGTCCCCCTCTTTTTTGACCCTTGCAAATTTCCGTGAGATTCCTGCAGAATCTTAAGGCTTGGGTATATTAGTTCAAAACCGTCTTTCATCCAAACCAAGATCAACCCAAGACAATCTCATCTCTTGACCATTTTCCTTCCCTTCTTCTGCTTTGGCACATGACATGGCACCAAACATGTCCTTGCCACCGTGTGTCGGAGTTTAGAGGCTGTGTGTATGTTGCTTGGACTGTACTGACCTGCGTAAGGGGGCCTCTCCTGCACTGTTAGGACGCTCGGCTGTGCTGTCCTCCCTCTTCCATTAAGACACCACACCAGGTGGTAAGACAGCTCCACATTCTGGGCGCATTCCTGGAGAATGGCTTCCATCTGGCTAGTCTGGTTCACACATCAGAATTAACAAAGCACAGGTTCATCGTAACTGCAGCCCAACAACTTGTCCCCCATGGTTGGACTTTCACAAACATGTCTATGAAGGACATGAGCTCTCACTGCGATGGCTTATGGCTGCTGGGGCTGCGTGAGGCCTAAGCAAGGCCTAGCTAACTGCATTTTCAGTGCATGCAGGCTACTGCAGAGCCGAACACCCTCCAGGCCGAGCCTTTTCCAGAGGTCTCACGGGCATGAATCACAGACGGGGGAATGGACACCCAAGGCTCGAGGAAGCACCCAGGCCCTTTACGAGACAGAGGCCTCAACTTCTCTGAAATTCTAACAACTGGTTTACACATTAAGTTAGGCAGCTAGAGCCTGATTTTCCTCTTTCTCCTTGAGAGGCCAAGCCAGCCCTGGCCGTGCTTACCTGCTCTTTTGGAGAATCTCAGCTTTGCTATTGTTACTCAAATACTTAAAGCTGGATTAGATCTTGGCAGGAGCTTTAAGCCTCTAAGACTAGTTATTGAGCAGCTCTCCTGCCAGCTCACTGGGCTCATAAGATGAGCAGTACTCTTGTGCTGGCCAGACTGTAGGACCCCCAGTTAATGGGAAGGCGAGTCCTCTCGAAGCAGCAGGTGCTTATACTCTTGCGCTGATTCCTGGCGTGCTGGCCGTGCCTTGGACAAATGAGTCCTTGAAGAGAATCCATATTCTCTGGGGTCACACCCTTTAAGAAAGTCTTTAGAGGGGTCCCTCCCTTTCTTCCTGGGACAGGTATAGCCATTGTCAACCTTTGAGTAAGATTTGAAACCCATCCCTTCAAGGGCGCCTGAACTGCAAGACAGATTGCAGGGCTGGTGACTGAACAGGGGGCTTATGGGGGTCCAGAGTACGATTAACTTCATAGATCAACGGAGCTCATCTATTAAGCTCTTCCAGCTAGCATACACAGACTCTTCCAAGGGGTAAAAAGAGCTCGGGGGCCTGTAGGGTGCAGGGCTGTTCCCAGCCCCAGGCGATCCCACTGTGTTAGGAGCCTGGAGAGCAGAGGCAGACTGCTGCCCTACCCTGAGGCCCTAGTTCTTGCAAACACGGTGCTAAAGCAAGAAAAGATTCACAAAGGTTTCTTCTAGAGGTGATGGAAAGCTAGTTCTGAGGGAGCCAGAGGCCCCAGGGTTTCCCTCTGATGGGAGTGAGGCTGGCCTGAGTCTTCAGCTGGGAGTGGCTGCAACTTTATTTATTCCTGATCTCTGCACCTTGGAAAGTACCATTTTCTGAACCTGGGTGGTTTTCCCACGTTCTACCTCCCTTGGGCCCCAAAAGGATCATGTTGGGATTCCCCTTCTCAGCCATCAGGGATCTCTGGTCCTTGCTTCTGCCTCGTCTCACGTGTCTGCCTTGTCCTGTTCGCAGAATCGGCGGCTGGGCTGGGCTCACGCCCTCCTGGCGTTTCTGTCCAGCCTTTGTGTGGTGAAGGTGGTTGCTTTTGTTATAGAAAGTCTGCTTTCTTCTTAGAAATCCTAAAATTAGTTAAGACCTATCCTCCGATTCAGGTCAAACAGGGCCAGTTGGCTGGAACCTAACATGACCATTTGTTGTTGCTGAACACAGAGAACATTTCTGGCAAACGGAAGTTAAGTGCGATGGTGTGACTTCATCCTCCCACCTGCCCTCACCACCTCATGCAAAGTCTCCCTTCAGGGCCTGGTGGTAAACCATCTGATGGGAGGAGTTAGGACAAAGAGGAAGAGGTGTCCTGCCAGCTAGAGCTCGAATACTCATGGAACTAACAAGTCTGACTTATTTTTCCAACAGATAATCGTTGAGCACCTACTGTATGCCATGCATGGCACCTGCCATGGTGAGCAAAAATCACATGAGACCCCTGCTGGCCTGGGGACCTCAGTCCAAGAGTTCAGCTCCATACAAGCAGAGTACCCCTCTGGCCTATATACGGTGGCCTCTCTCCCTCAAGGCTGCTCTGGACTTCATTTTTACCTTTTTCTAATTGAAAGCCTAAAACGCTCCCCTTTTTTCCATCTGACAGTGAGGTACAGAGTGGGAACACATATTCTCCTTCACGAATGCCAAGTATGAAAAACACCCTACAGGACCTGTCCCCCCCTGCCCCACCGCATTTGTCTTTTTAATTTTCTTTTCTAAATAAAAGACCATAGCAGACCAGGATCCTGTGGGTCATCAAATGACCAAGCCAGACATTTTTTAAAGCAGGTTATTTCTGCTTTGGAAAACCTACTTTCCCCCCATTCCAGCTGGTTAAATGTAACCATGCCTTGAGATTGGTCAGGATTGACCTTCCGCCTGAATACTTGCATCTCATTTGTTTGAGTTTGTTTGTGTTTGTTTTGTGCCCCCTTCAAAAAAATCTCTTCCAACCTCAGGGGAGATTTCTGTACTACAGAATTGTGTTTTCTTAAAACCTGCAGGCGTGGAAACGAGACCACTTTTGTTCCGTCTAGAAGGTCTGGAGGACGGAGAGTTATTGAAAACGCAGATGCTTCTGAGGAGGAGATGGACGCCCGCGACGCAGACTTCAACGGAACCAAAACCAGTGAATAAATAAACAACTTGCTAAGAACAGAACAAAAGGAAACCCAGTGGACTCTGCTCAGCACTGTCTAAGTTCATTTGCAGATTCCAAACATCACAGACACCACTCGCAATAAATGTAGAAACCACCACCCTGTGTTCGGGGTGCAATTTCAGTTCTGAATGATATACCAGATGAGAAAAGTCCGACAGGAGACACACCCCACTCCTTCTACCAATGAACGGAGCAATGATTTTGAGTTTATAGAAAAATATATCCACAGTAACGAATCACTGGCAACTTAGTTTACAAGAAATGGGGAAAAAGTCACCAAAATGGGTGCCACTGCCCGCCACCCCCAGGCAATTCCTTAACCTGTGTATCCTTCCAGGGCCCTGAGAAGGCCCTTGTTTGAGAATTCGTTCCCCCCCCCGCCCCCCGGTTACCTCACCTCTGACCGCACAATTCACCAAGACAAAGTGCCTTCTGTAGTCACGTGAATTAAAAAGGAGACACTGCTGGAATGGATGAAAGCAGGAATGTTACACTGTTTTATAAGCACCCTGACTGTACTTAAGAACACCTTCACTAATAAAAGGTTACAAATCACTAGCACATAGTTGGCTTTTCTGTTGAGCTGTTTTCTATGGAAGAAAAGAACCAGGTGGCGTTCTCATTTATCTTCACAAGGATGCTATGAAGTCAGGGTTATTTCATACATGGGGAAACTGAGGCATAGGGAGGTGAACTAAACCATCCAAGATCCCACTGCAGGCCAAAGAGCAGAGATGCAAAGTGAGTCTGTGTGAGGGGGTCTGTCCAACCAGGAGTTGGGCAGCTCTGGGCTAGGGACCAGGAAGAGTATTTTAATCAAAACCAACCTGTATATAATGTGAAGAATACAAGATTTTCTTGAATTTTTAAATTAAAACACAAAGACTTTGCCCAGCAGGGGTCAACAAACATTTTCTGTAAAGGCCAGAGAGTAAACATTTTAAGCTGCTTGTAGTCTCTGTCACAGTTATTTTTTTTTTTTTTAAACAAACCTTCAAAAACCGAAAAAACACTCTTAGCACAGGAACCATACAAAACCAGGCCATGGGACCTTACCTTCCTCAGCTTGAGTGTTCTTGACAGATCTGTGCAAACGTTCTACTCAACACAAATGATTCCATACACCAACTCCATTGGGTCAAACAGATTTGAGGAGAGAGGAAATAGGTTAACTGAAAGATTTAATGGAATGACCAAATGCTCTATACCCTGAACGATACCCAAACATATCCTAAATACAGTTCTAAGAAGCTGACTTTAAAGGCAATTTTTTAAAAGTAGGTTTTCATATGTAGTTAGTTGAGAACCTGAAGTCTTCAATCATTGTTCAAGCAAACAGAAATACAAACAAAGCAGCATTTACTGACCACCACCACCGACTAGTTGAAAACTAGTTTCTCTTGATTTTATTGTTCTTTTAAAAAAATAAAAGTACATCTTTTAGTGATACAAGAATGTTTTGAGGGTTATGAACTGGACACCAAAGTTTAATTCTCTGTTGAATTCCAGTACTGCCTGAAAACTTCTATTGTCAACTCAAGGATATTTTTGCTGCTGTTTGGAAAATAACTTAGTGACAAAACGTTGTTAAGTTGCATGCATGTTCCTGGACTTATGTGCCCTTGTTATTTGCATCCAAAGGCAGGAGACAGCATTTCACAAGAAGCGGAAAGCAACATATTCACCATTGGTGCTGGATATTCTGTGTTCGTGTCTTCTTTGACAAGGTGGCTTCCAACAGGAATCCTGGGAGTCTAATCTGATTTGAAGGTCACCCAATTATTTCATCCCAGCTTTGAATGGGCCCTGAGAAAGGGCCCGTTATCAAGGCCATTCCACCCCTAACAACCCTCAGGGTCCTGAAGCGGAGGTCATCCCCAGGTCAGGGCAGATGGCTCAGGAGAACTAAAAGTTGGGATTGATCTAAAGAGGACACAGACTGTCCACTGGCCTGGCCCACACGAGAGTTACCCTGAAATTCAAGCACACCTCTGAAAGCCTCAGAGAGAGACAGGCTAAAAACTCCATGAGGTACACTGTACCACAGTTTCTTAAAAAAGGCATGTGCCTATTTACTCTTTGTTCCTAGACATGATTTCAGTACACAGATCCTTCCTGTGTCATAGAACACTGGGGGATTTTTGTTCTGGAAGACAGCTCCAGCTGAGTGGGGGCTGCACTGAGTCCGAGATGGGCTCAGGTCCCACTTTTAAGGCATCTCCAGACATTAAAAAGACCTGTCAAGACCAGCCAGGACTCAGGTCAGCAAACGTGATGGGCCTTTATACCTTGACCCCTCTGCAGAGCCTGTCTGTCCCTGTCTGTTTGCAGCACACCAAGCAGGGAGGCTGGGGATCATGAGACAACATTTCACAGACACAGCCAGCAGGGGCCACGGGCAACAGCTTCAGTCACTGGCTTGCGTGACGGCTTGCTCCTATTTCTCAAACTAACAAAAAAACTCAAAACCTATTTTTGAGAGGGGAAGAAAGGTAACAACTCCCACACAGGCACCAGGGGCTGCAGCTTCCATGGCTTCCCTAAAGCAACATCTTGACTACACCCTGGGCTGACGGCAGTGATGGTGAAGAAATATTTGAAGGCGACTTCCCAAATTCCAGGTGTTTTCCCAACCTTCAGACAGAGTAAACCAAATCAAGCAGACATAGCTGTCACACACTGGCTGGCACTGGGGCCCACCAAGTTATAAGAGTATCAAGAATCAGAAGCAGTGTCTCCCTGGGTCTCAATTTCCTCTCCTGTGAAATGAAGAAAAGGACACTGGCTCTCTAGCTCTCACAGTCCCAAGGCCACACAAAAAGCCCAGCAGCAGAAGACTCTCTAAAAACAGACACTTCTAAAGGCGTGTGAGCTATGTGCATTCCTTTCCTATCATCTGTCTGCTGCAGATCCACCGAATTTATATAGCCAGGGGTCCAGTAAAATGGTGGCACCTTTTAGAAAACTAATGAATCTGGAAGGTGGTCTGATTTTCCTCAGGCAAGAAAATAAATGAAGCCACTAGAGATCAGATACGTGTTTTCAAATCAGGTGACCAGCTTCAGGAATCTCATCTGGCTGGAATTTAGTTGGTTTCCTGAAGGTTTCTAAATATTTTTTTTTAAATAGAAAAAAATCCTCTTCTGGGGGAAGCAGAGCAGTGTTTGAAGCGTAAGTCCCAAACAAGTGATTTATACAGGACATTCTCACAGCATGACCAGGAGTTGGGGCTGCAGAATCAAATAATAAAAATGAGCCTCTTGCTGGCTGTATGCTCAAACTAGAAGATTCCACCTAACTGTCTCAAGGGACAATGGGAGAGGATAGAGTTCACTGACATAATCCGGCAGCTTTTAAAAACGGCTACTGGTTATGGGTTAGAGGCTCCCACCGGGAGTGGACAGCACGTAGTACTGACCCTTTGTCACCCAGAGGCACGCTGGTGCTGTTTGACCGTCTGTCACCACCATCTCTGTTCTTGCTCCCCCGTCCTGAGGCTGGGCCGCTTGCTCGGTTTGGGGACTGATCATACACGAAGTTCCGGCAGGATGCAAGTTTGGACTCCAGTGCCTGGAGAGAAATATGCTTTCATCTCTCAAGTTAAAGGCAAGAACTATTATTTCACGGGAGTCTGCACACAGACAACAACCTAAAACAGTGGTTCTCATGTTGTGTTGTGCATTAGAATTCCAAAGTGGGGTTCCAAAGGAACCCAATTTAGATCCAGCTCTTAGAACGGCTGGCCTAAGATAATTAGGAGCTTCTTGAAAAATCACACACCCTCCTTAATACCCATGTCTGCCTATAAGAAATATGAAATCAACTTTTGGAATCATTTATTCTTGTTTACATTATTAAACATGCAGAGTGGCAGGAGGTTTGAATGAGGACTTTGCCTTGCTGTAAACAGACCCTGCAAAAACTAAAAGGGCACTGAGCCCATCCCAGGCCTCTCTATACTCAAACTGTGCGTTACAACAGAGACCTGGTTATGTAACAGAAAACCAGACAACCAAGAGCCAAAAGCAAAAATATAAGAAATGAATTGGAAGCTTCTTGTCAGATGCAGTTCTGAATAAACACATGCTGGGTGATGACAGGCTGGCAGGATTATTATCTGGCCTTCCAGGCATTATTTTTTAAAAATAAAAGAAACACTACAGAGAATACCTACGTTATTTCTTAAGCACAGAAGAATCCTTCCCTGTAATGAGTATAAAGCCTTTCAAGATTTTCTCTTTAACTGCCTAATAAGAAAAGGCAATTTTCAAATGTTTCTCAGTTTTTCCAAATTAAGAAACAAAAAAATCACAGATACTATCCGAATTCCCCAAATTTCAAGGAAGAACAGTAGAGGAGCAGGAAAGCATACAAAGGGTGGCTCAGCATCAGAGCTCTAGGTATTTGTCAGTACCATCCACAGTGGTGCAAATGATTCTGAGGGACACTCCAGAGCCGAGCTACATCTAAAACTCATGAAATCTCTGTTTAGGGGGAAAGGAACTGGGAAGGTCAACCCTCTCCAATATCCTGAAGGATAGATAGGCAAGAAGCTGTGCCAAGCCCCAGGCAGGCGTGGGCCTTACCCCTACTTTCCGCAGCAGGTCTCCCACGATGTTGAGGGCTGATATCCGGGCTGCAGGCGTGAGCGGGGTCCCCCCCTTGGAGTCATCCAGACCTGGGTGTGCAAAGGGAAGCACATGGAACACCCGTCTGCAGTCCTAAGTCTGTGCACCAACATCTCTAAATGCGAAACCCCATGGGTGGGTGAGGGAAGCCGACTCTTCCCTTTGATTCTGGATGCTGCTCTGTTTCATCTGACATTTAACTATCTAACACACTAAGTCTATTGATGGCCAGCATTTCACAGCCTTACAGTGACTGTATTAAATATTTATCTTAATAGGCTGTTCTTTTGAAACAGATCAAAAGAAGCCCTCTTGAAATTCTAGGGATTCACAGAGTTAGCTA